CACTATGGATCTTGTAATGGGTGCAATAAACAAATTACAAACTTCTGCTTGACTTTTAAATTAAAATTTAAATTCTGTTGGTTTGGTTTCACTTTTTTACTGACAGAAATTTAGTTGTGATAATTTTAGAACTTTACTGGTGTTCGTTTCAAAATGAAATATCTGTTTTTCATACTGTATATTTTCTACTTACTGCAAAAAATGTGCAAGAAAAGAAGAATTTGTTTCATATTTTAGCCGTTTACTGTATATAACCAAAGCTTACACACAATTCGTGAAATACATTACAACTACTCTATTAGCGAAATTGTAAATGGTCTCGAATATTTCACGACTTGATAAAAAATATCTCAAAATTAACGAACTACTAAATTTTCCATTTTTCTCTAGGTACTAAACACTAGAACTAAACTAGTACTAGTAGGAAACATTAGAAGATATTAGGTGCGAATATCATGTTTTGTATTATTAATTCAGATTACACTCGCAACTGGTCCGAGGTGCAGTGAAATTTTGTTGACGAGTTGGTGGATGCGCGAGTATTTTGTTCATATTGGAATAACAATGCGACATAATTCAATCGATATTTTTCCGTTCTAAAATGTTCTAAAATAAATCCCGAAGGAAGTATTAGGCACGTCTATTATTTAATTCAATCCCTTCTCGACTTTCTGCCTACGACTGTGTGAGCGCATTCTCTAGGGGAATTCAATTCATCTCCATGTTCACGAAGCGTATGAACACGAACTATGAACAACTTTTTAACATTTTGAGCCATGAATTAATTGTTTATGGAGTGCGCTGAAATAAATCGAATCTAATTGTAATAGTTGCTTTCGCATTATCTAATAATCGCGACATTTTTCGTTTTGCGTAAACCAGATTCGTTGCAACAGGAACACGAGGAATCACATTAATTAGGCAGACACAATTTGTCGGATGTCTAAACAATATTCCCCCACGACTCCCAAGAGGGTTGCAAAATAATTTAGCGGAGGTCTGGAGCCATCTACGGGATGGAATTTAGTTAACAAACGCCGTATCTCGATTATGTAAATTTTAATTTAAAGTCACGTTGTAAATGCCAGAGAGTGATTTTCTACAACGGTTTCATTCACATAACATTTCCCTTACGCGACTTAGTGAAGTCATTTTGAAAATGCGCCTTGGTATTTGCTTTCGAAACGTTCGTTTCACCACAGACCGAATTAGCCTAACTGAACATGACATATAATAATAACAATAATAATAATAATAATAGACTTTAGACTTTAGACTTTATTGGCCATTAAATACATTACAAGAACAACAAATGGCAAGTCACAATATCAAACACATTCTAATAACATTCATAGAGAGCAACATAATTATCAGATAGACAAACACCAAACATTGAAACAAAAATTAGGTAAAAAAAAAAGTAAAAAATAAATAAATAAATTCCCAATTAGTATTATGGAGACACTCGTGACGCAACACGGATGTACTCATCTGGAGTATAGAATGCGTTCTCCAATAGAAATTGTTTTATTATATTACAAAATTTAGTGAATGGCAGATCCTTGACAACGGTTGGTAGAACATTGTAGTAATTAATGTACAATTTATTTAACTTGGATGTGCGCAGCCTAGAATGGCCCTGAACAATTAATTCAGATTCCCTGGTGTAGTGATTGTGGCGATCACAGTGCTTAGGCATATCGTTCTTTAGCTCATGTATGAAAGTGACTGTATAGTAAATAAAAAGTGATGGTAAGGTCAAAATATTAAGCTTTCAGCGAGCAAGAGTTCAAGTTTTTCTACAAATATAGAAAAATTGCCTCTAGAGCCAGAGCGATAAACATTGATTAAAATAAGATTAAGCACTGGTATCTCCACACCACAAAACTCTGCGTGAAGATCCAGACAATATTTACTCAGATTAAGACTGCTACAGGCAATATTATTTTTAACATATATAGCAGTTCCTCCTCTGGAGGTACTGAGACGACAATAATATCCAACTAATTTATAATTGTGAACCTTAATAATATTAAGCAACTCCTCACCATTTACAAAATGTTCACAGAAACATACAATGTCTAAACCAATAGAATTTAGATATTCAGTAACCACATCGAGTTTACTTAGGAGACCCTGCACATTGTAGCTCAAGATATTAATGCTGTTCCTACCTCCATCGGTAGTCTTGGGTCGGGATTCTCACTCACTAGACGTCTCTCTGTTGATACTGGAATTGGATCGGTTTTTTCTCTTGTCAGACGCCTGGGGAAAAAATGATTTATCAACACACCCGTGGGCCAGATGGAAGTATCCAGAATTTTTTGCGCTTCGTGATCCATGGCCGATACCCTAAATGAGGAGTAACTCTCAGGATACATTGATGGGACCTGGAACACTTCTACTCCACTAACTATCGGTGCTAGATATTGTCGGACCTCCTCAGCTTTGGTATTCGAATGCAGTTTAGTAATGTGAAAACTGATTTTACGTTCAGCAACTCGAAGTGCACATTTAGAGTTATCGCTAAGAGATCCTTTAAGCGGTTTGACCCTATCGTTTAGGACTCTGGAACTTTTGCGTTTGTACCCACCATCCAGTTCTATTATTTCAGAGCATATCTGACGTGACACAGCCTCACTGACTGCACTAGATAGTTCTTTATTTGTAATTTTATTCAGGTGCTCCGACTTGGGGGCGTTTTGCTTAATTGGACCTGTCTGTGATGATTTAGCCCTATTTGCAGAGTCCAGAGTTTGCCCTTCAAGGAGTCTGCTGCTTTTTAGTAGGCTCACCTGTTCTTTACAAGCGGTAATGGCTATGGCTTGATTCTCGATAACAAGATCTTTTTGCTTCAAAAGTTCTTTTAAATACATGATTTCTTTTGCGGCATCAAATGGAGCGTTTGCTCCCGAATCATCAGGAATTGGACCCGACTCCAAGGATTCGCCTCCGTAGGAACAGCAATCAATCTTGTCGCCTCCTAAAATTTTCGTGTTTTTCATGATTTTCACGCACGATTTATGCGATATCGTGCCGCACTTGATACACAATAGACCAGTACCTTAATATAATCATGATTGACTATATTAAACGCCCTACTAATGTCCAGTAGAAAAACTAAACATCCGATATATCAACAAGCGCACTCTCACATCAAAATCTTGATAGAAATCCTGACTAATTGTCGAGTAATATTTTGTTTCCTTATTTGAATTTTCATAACTTTCTCTAGAATTTTTGAACATGGTAGAATATTGACTGGACGAAGATGCCTAAATCTGTTGGGATACAAATTTTTGGAAGGGGAATAATTTTTTGCTTGTTTTCAGATGAGTGGGAAATAAGAAGATAATGATGGTGTTACTTAATGAAATAAGAGTTGCTTTTTGCAAAACTTCTGAATTCCTCCTGCGTCGGTTTTTGTTTAGTCGAAATTGCTGACTTTTCGCCAATCATCCTGTTGGCTTCTTCAGAGCGATTGGCCGAACGTCAGCAATCGACTAAGCAAAAACCGACGCAGGAGGAATCCAGAAGTTTTGTAAAAAGCATTACAGTAGCCTGTGGAAGTTTCTTTGAAGAAATAAAAGTTATATTAATTTTATCTACTCGAAAAGCTTCGGTTTTAATACAATATATAATATATGTTATTTAATAATAATATTTTCTGAAATATTGTTACAATAAAATTTTATTCCATTCAAAGACGTGTTTGGATTATTTGCCATTTAGTACAATGCATTAGGGAAAGCTTAGGGCTATAACTTTCATTTAATTTTAGGGTCGGGTGAAGGGTGCTTTAATTTTCGCCGGATGACGAAAAGGTTATTCGCTGACATTTGGAAAAAATTGCTTGGTATAATCTGATACGATTCTATTGAGAATACTTCAACTCGTTAGGCTTACATCCATAAAAAGTTATATATACAAATAAAACAAATAAACACTTTGATTTTATTATTATTTCTTCCATTCCATCTAGTATACGTTGCGGCTCTGACGAACTAACGTCATTATTTACAAAGGTACAAAGGTACAAAATATTTCTAAACAAAAGAGAAAAAACAAGAAAGAAAGTAGAAACAAGTTAAATTTAGTTTGAGCGAAAACCTGTTACTGCTTGAAGTATCTCCGTGCAAAAATTAACTGTTATAATTGATTTACAAAAGAGATATTGGTGAGTTTTTGCCTTAATTTCTACTATATCTAGGCGGATAGAGCATTACCACAAATTTTCTAACAGTTTTGGACAGTCTACTCTGTTGGTAACAATATTGTGCAAAAAATGCCACTGTGTACTATTCTTCTAACAGAATTTCAACATATGATAGAGTCAAGGCTTGCTTATATAAATTTCATGTGAAAAATAAACGTTTTTGAATGTATTTAATTCTATTTACATACTTAGGATATTGGCTACTCCATATCACACACATTACATTGTTTACTAACCCATAAAAAATAAAATAAATAAAAACTGACTAATGTTATATTTGAAAATTATTTATATGTAGTTTTTGTTATTTGGCAAATAGGAGTAACTAAGGACGTCGTTTACTCTAATTGTATTGTTCCTAAATGTGAGTAAAAGACAATTAAAGTCGTTTAATTTAAACGTTGGAATACGGATTTATTCAGGGTCAATCCCTCTCATCAGAAAAATGCGTCGTAAATTTTTGATGAGAGAGCGAACTCGTCAGAGACTGGAGTTATGTAAATATAAAGGCAGCGTAATAGAATTCTTACAAGTAAATTAATGTCTACTTCGAAATGAATACAAACTGACAATGAGATTTAACTTCACAATAGATTAATTACTGCTTCTATAGCCCGATGAATATTTAAAATATCCAAAACGAATATGCGCGAAGCCATTGAGGCATTGAATTTAGCTACAGCATTAATAATGTTTAAAGCTTTTCGTCGTGGAAGGATATGTACCTACCTAACAAAATATTTATTTTTCTTTTAAATATTACGACCTGATTAATTTTTTATAGGGCATTGAAGCATCTACAATCACTCAAATATCGGTCTCTACCCCGAGAGAGGATATACCAACCATTTCACACAAACTATGGAATCTCTCACGACTATCATTCGATGAGTGCGATAGGAGGCATTTTTTGTACAGACAAGACTTGCATCGACATTTTTTAATAGGATCTGCAGGTATATACTCTGATAATAAACGAACAATAAAATTTTAAATTATTTCGAATCCCGAGCGTTTCCTATTTAAATTCGAACGCTTTTAATTTACCTATTCCTAATTACACTTGGTAATTTGTGGTGGCTATTTAAAAAATGGCGAATGGAAAATTATTCAGTGGTTTCCTGTTTTCAGATGAACCTGCTTCAATGATTAGGAATTCGGTGGGAATGACTGTTGGCGTCAAACCTAACATGGACTGTAGCACTTGTTCGAGTCATAGCGGGAATGTTTACTCTCAAAATGAGGGCAGCAATAAAGTGTCGTAATTTTTTCATGGCATAAACAAATTAAGTTATATTGTAAAAATAAACTATGTGCTCTTTATTGGTTGAAAATTTTCATATAATGCTTGTCAATTTTTTTATAACTGCATGCCGATATTTCTTAGAAAGCAGTGCAAGAAGCGTGCGGCATATGTGTTAAATAAAAAAATAAACTTGGTGTTGTACCGTACTAATTAATTAAATATTCCACTCAATTAATCAACATTAACAGAGTTTAGCCATTTCAATGAAACTAATAACTTTTTCCTGTAAATACATACATATATCAAAATACTAGTAGTTAGATCTATTATTGCAATTGTAAGATGTTTAGCAACTGACGTTAAAAATAACTGTTATTGAAAAAATTGTAGAATAATAAAAATTATTACATATTATACGCATTTTATCTTGCCTTTCTTGGTTTTAATATTGCAGTTAATTGTCAAGTACAGCAAGCAAGCAAATGTTTTACTTGTCAAAGGTAGTTTGTGAATATCGCTTTTTTTGGTCAGGATTCCAAATAAATTATTTGTCTACTTTACTGTTTCGATTTGTTCATTATTAATATGAATGGTAAATACAACTGTTAAATTTAAAAAATTATTACAGATTATATGCGTTTTATCTTTTCGTTTTTGATTTTAATATTGCAATTGACGGTCAACCATTATGCAACTCTCTACAGGTTGGGCAAAAATCTTGATAGGCAACTTTATGTATTCAACCATATGTTTTACTGGTTGTCGCCATTAGTTTATGAAAATCAATTATTTTGCTCGCGTTACCAAATGAGTTGTTTATCTATGGTCAAGATTTCAGTTTTGAAATTGTCTATTAATGGTATGGTTTTTTGTAAGTTTTAATTTATAAACGAGTTATCCTTCGACGGCAGTATTTGGAAATTGAATGCAATAAACAACTAAAAAGGTTATATCGCTTTTCGTCAGTGATTAATTCCATACAAATAGGTTTATTGTATGCACATGACAGGGTTGATATTACATCCTTCATCCACCCACTAATATTGCGAGAATTTCCGAGCCACCCCCAGCAACCAGCACCGGTTTTATACATATTTGTTGTATCTGATTTCTGGCATAGGTATGTATTTAATTTCCAGTGCTTAATTGTTTACTTAAAAGCCGTAGAAGTTGTGTTAGAATTATTGTTTTTGTTCCTAGAAATAACTCTCAGCCAATTTGAACAATGAAAGCTCAATTATTAAGCATGGTTTGCTCTCAAACCGTCCACATTTCCAGCAGGAATTAAAATCTACACACATTAAGTAACAAAGGATGAATTTGGAAAAGTTTTCAAATTGGTTAGTTAAACATCCCTATGTGATTTTGTCTACAATTTCTGCATTTTCTATAACATGTATTGTATTACCATTTACCATCAAATCAATGGAATTTCCAAGTTTTCAGGATCCTCAATTGGTAGGCTTTACTATAATAGTTAATTGGTCTGTTGTGTATGTCTCTGCTTTTGTTAGGGATTTTCCACTAGAGGTACTTATATTTCGAATCGTTTGACTGCATGGGAAAATTTACTCAAAAACACGAAGCCTTCAGGTCTATTTGTGAAGAATCCAAAAGAGTATTTGATGATAAAGAATTTTACAAACAATGAAATTCCTATGGTAATACCAAAGAAGCATTTAAAGAGGAAGAAAGGGCAAGAACAAGTTGTTTATGGAAATGTAAAATTACAATTTCTTTAAAATTTGGCTTGAATAAAATTGAAATGTTTCAGGTATATACCACAGAAGAGAAAAATATGTCTGAAGTCAATGGCAATGCTAATATATGGAAAGCTGTTCAAAACTTGACCTGGGGCCCAATAAAGGGCCGCCACAGGCTTAATATTGATAATTTTTTTTGTGGACCTCCAGGTGTGTTATATATTTTTAAAACGGTTAGTTTCACTTAAACAAAACTCTTGGATTTCAGACCCAAAGTATGCACATTTTGTTATAACGTCCAAAAATAGTACTGATTTATTTACCCTAGACTTCTTGTTATCGTTGTGCCGATTGGAACATATTTTTACTGAATTGAAGTACTACAACGAATTTTGCATTCAAAATTTGCAAAATAATAGATGTTGTAAGCCTTGGTCACTCCCAAATTATATTGCCATACTAAACCAAAAGACATCATGCTTGACACTCACAGTAAGAAAAGCATGAGGTAATACATGCCCTTCTTCTTACACGACTGTACTCATTCTAGGAACAAGATGTTACTGAAACGAAAAGGTTGTTGATTAAATGTGCACATTACTTTCATAATCTTGAACTGAATTCAAATTGCTTCCAAAAATCTGGTTGTGATGCATCCATTGAGTGTATGAGACATGATGCTGCTTTTAATATTATGAACTTCTTAACTAGTACAAATTTTTTACCACCTAATGTAAGTTTGAATGAAACACAATAACTGGAACATTTATACATGTATATTTATAGGGAACTGATGAAGAAAACGCATTTCTAGCGGAAACAATGATTTTTTTGCCATTAGCTTGCAGTTCGGGCATTCTCTCGTATTACCATCAAGTGGAGAAACTTGATTTGGAATTTGAGGGTCTTTCGGTAGTAGCAATGGATTTTGGACTAAAAAACAGCTTGTTCCATGAATATTTGATAAGAGACACTTGGCTAATATTGTTCGGGAGTCTGTTCATATTTGTAAGCATCTGGGTTTATACAAGGTCCATATTTTTAACTGTCATGACAATAATAGTGATAGTTTTTTCACTTGCCGATGCATATTTTTTATACTTCGTTGCTTATGAGATAAAATTTTTCCCCTTCATGAATGTATTAACCATCGTGGTTATTATAGGTGAGTCTTTTTTTGTACCACGCGTGTGTAGAATGTTACTATTATTTCTTTAGGTATTGGTGCTGACGACGCATTTATATTTTGCAAAATTTGGGATGTTCAGAAAAATGATCAAAGGCATCAGAACAGTATATTAAAAATAATGTCATCCACTTTCCATCACGCGTTTATCTCCATGCTTGTTACAGCATTAACAACAGCGGTGGCATTTTGGGGCTCTTATGTCAGCTCTGTCACAGCTATTAGTTGCTTTAGGTACAGTTTGGTGGTAAAGTTAATTGTTTACCTCGCCTTCCAGAACGTAAATAAATCCAAATTTTCAATTAAAACAACCTTACAGTTATTGTTATTAAAACGCGTTCAGTTACTTCCGTTTTGTTGCTCCAGAATCTTCCCCTTTTTCTATTTTCGAAATGTTATTACATGATGCGTATTTTTTTAATGGAAATAAAATATGTGAACTGTTTAATTTTTGGTTTCAGCATTTTTGCAGGCACTACAGTTGTAATTAATTATGTACTTATGATAACATGGTTTCCTGCATCTTTAGTTATTTGGGAAAAATCTTGGTTATCAAAAAGTCATATCTATAGGAGCTGCTTGACCAAAATATGTTGCTTTAAATTTCAAGTGAATCTTTTCGCCGGGTGGTTCCAAAAATTAGGTTGGTAACCCTTTATCGCCAAGTTGTCCACGGAATAGTACTTATATTATTGTTATTATTTTCGCAGGTAATATTTGGAATGGCAAAAAACAGTTTTTCCTAGACGCAATTATAAAGCTGAGATATTTTTGGATTGTATTGTTGACGATAGTCGCTCTCGCAGGTTTTGTAGTTGTTTTCATTTTTCCAAAATTAAAAGTGCCAAATTCCACCGAGTTTCAACTATTTGTCTCCGAACATCCCTTTGAGAAGTACGATTTTATTTACAAAACGAAATTTTGGTTCGGAAGAGGAGAAAGGGTAAACGATTTAGATTGAGGTGTGTACACAAAAACAAATGTTTAACTAACTTTTGCTATAGGAATCGGGAGTTGATGCGTATAAGATGCCGATGCGATTTGTGTGGGGAGTTTTGCCGGTCGACAACGGAGATCATCTGAACCCTTCCGATTTAGGTCATTTAGTACTAGATTCTTCGTTTGATATTGGCGCTTCGGAATCACAAGAATGGTTGATGAAATTTTGCGCGGATTTACGGGAACAACCTTTTTATCAGTCCGTTGTTGGACCATTGCTACCGAATTGCTTTATCGAAACCTTCGCCAAAAGTATGAAAAGAAAATGCATAGACCCTTTCACCTCCGAAGATTTGACTCCTTGTTGTGAAGTAGTGGATTTTCCATTTAACAGGACGATTTTTAATCGGTGTATCATAGAAGAGATGGCCGATTTATACGAGACACCGTCGAAATTTTTACATCCACAGACGGCGGGTCCGAAATTTTCCAAAGACCAAAACCCGACAATAAAAGCAGTAGTTGTCGAATATGACAGCATTTACGATTACTCCATGTCTTATGAACAAATCGATAAGTTCTTTGTTCAAGTTAATGGGTGGATGACGGAAGTGTTGACAACAGCTCCACGGGGTATGAAAAATGGTTTTTTTATTAGCGATTTAGATTTTTACGATTTGCAAAACGAATTAAGCAGAGGAACTCAAATGGCGATCACTGTGTCGATGGGACTTGCTCTCGCAGTATTGTTCTTGTCCACATTAAATGTCATTTCAAGTATCTTGGCCATAATCGCGATAACGTTCAGTATTCTGGTCGTCATGGCTATTTTAGTGATTTTCAAATGGCGCTTAAACATACTAGAGTCAACCGCCATATCCAGCGCTATTGGACTTACAGTTGATTTTAGTTTGCATTATTCGATAAATTATAGATTATGTCCCGAGGAACTAGCTGTAAATAGAGAAGCTGCCACCGGGTATGCCCTATCAAGAATGATGGGTCCTTCCTTAATGGCAGCTTTAACTACAGCGGCTGCCGGTGGTTTCATGATGTTTTCCCAAATTTTGCCATACCTACAGATAGGGTTGTTTTTGGTTCTTGTCATGCTCGTTAGTTGGATTTATTCCACTTTTCTTCTGGGCGCTTTGTTTGCCCTTTTCGGCCCTACGAAAAATCAGTGCCAGTACAGTTACACGAAATTACTTTGTTGTCTTTTGGGTCACCCCAATAAAACTGAAAGACGTAATACTGTAGCCACATCTAGCACTTCAGACAGTCACGAGTTAGACCAATTGACTTATATTAAACACGACAAGCATACGCCTAGAAGATCGTTAAGTATGGCAGGAACCGTTAAGTATACCCCTAGCAGACATACTTTTACCGACCAATCGCCCTCGGCAACCAGTGCGATTACCATTATAATGGCGGATGATAACTAAGAAGGATCTTAGGGATGCGAATAAATGTCATAGATTACTTGGAAACTGTTGCTCAAGTTTGCACGAAGATAATGCCAAATATTTTCTAGTTAGTAAAACAATAAGCCGTACAAATTTTAGAAGATAGCGGACATTATTTTTTTCTTTGCTCCTACTTATTTCCAAAAATAAACTGTTTTTGCATTTTTTGTTTGAAAACTGATTTATTATTATCTCTTGTAATTTTTATATGCTACGTAGATAGGCCATTCGAAATACGCGGGGAAACATATCCTGCAGGACCCTTGATTAAGCTTTTTTTTGCGTTATTCGTTTTCGGTTCGTTCGATAAAAAGTTACCGTTTGGTGGGGCGACACCATTTCTCAGCAGGATAAAAATTATATGCACAATTCGAATACCTCTCGGCGGTGAATATTTTAGGGTCCTGTGAGTCGTGTAACCAAATTCTATCCTTTGCAGACTATTCTTTTGGAAACTTCCTTATGTTTTATTGAGAGAAATACACACATTAGCGCTCTCGTTGCCCACATCACCATCACCTTCAAATTTTTCATTTCAGTCCAATATTCGTAATAAAAATGTATCAACATTCGCATCTCTAATAATTTTTTTGTACATTTAGGACGAAAAATTCTGTGATATTTTTTCATTTATGTTTAGGTTTTCCTTTCTTTTACAGAATTTGTTTTTTTGTTATTTAAATATTCAAATAAAACCAAACAATACTTCTGGCCTAAATATGCAACTAGTGTAGAATTATACCAATTCAACACTGGTTTATACAGAGCGGAAACTTGATATACCAGCGAACAAGTTGAAGATTTGAACTGAGTCTTTATTGATACAGAGTATATTGCGACACTATATAAATGTTTAATAATGTTATAATAAAATTTATAGAAATATGTTATTGCGTGATTGAAAAAAAAACAGAAAACAGACATATCGGATGCAAAAGTTCGTATAATTGCCCATTAAAAAAAAACATCCCTCAGTTCGCAAAATGATTTTCATTTTAGAATTGTCAAAAATAAATACAACCGATACATACATATTTAATTCTCTATTTATTTGTCGCTATCAGCGTATGCTACATTTAAATTTTGTGTCATATTACATTATTACGACTGTTTTGTGGGGCACCTATCCAATTCCAATGAAAATGCTGTCTGGCAGCAAAATTCAACAAGCATAATTTTCGAGTGTTTTGACCTCTAGTTGGCATGAAGCGTTTCCCACCATGTTAAGAGAAGGTAATCATCAGGTTTTCTATAACCATATCAGTATTGGAAAATTGCCAAACGAGAGGTGAAAATATCTAATGAATGTTAGCTCTATGTAAGAAAACAGTACTCTGTCCAGTATGACAAGCAGAGCGAAATATATTAAGTGTTTTATACTGTATATTTTTTTAAAGAAAAGACATACAGGTGTTTTAAATAAAAACCTGTCCCATATTTCCTGTAGACCTGGCTATTGCCAACTTGTTACTTTTATATTTAGGTTAGGAGGGAACCTATATAACTGGCTGTTGTACTTTACTTTGAACGTAATTTTTGTAAGTTTTGCTAATTCACACGCGGCAACTTCTTGTTGTACGCATTACGTGAAATGGCAGATCCAGAAATTATTCTTTAAGCAAAGTATATTGTGAATAAGTTAGTTTAGAAATATTAGACAGAAAAAATAAATCTACGACAATATACTATTAATAATGGCTGTCAGTATTCCTAAACGTTGTTATTATTTAAAAAAAAATATTTGTATCAGCCAGCTTTAAGCTGTCATGGGTTACAGTATTAATTAAACTACAAAATAATTGGTTACCGTTTCGAATTCCCTTGTTTTGTAACTAATTTAGAGTTGGTCAAACATTACTAAAGCCTACGTCTTAAAAACATTTTATCCTGCATCCGATAACAATTTTGTTTGTTTGTTTCCAAATGAAACAAAAATGCGATTGCGGAAGATCTATTAATTATACACAAACGTATTTTATGTTTTGATTGTATTCATTATTTATTGTTATTGTTAAATTGTCACCTGGTTGACCACCCTATATAATAAAAAACATAAAATTTCAAAAAGTTCTGCATATATTTGGGTATAGTTCATGCATCGAAATCCTAGTCTAAATGCCCTTGTACTTTTGAATTTTTTAGACAGGTAACTCTAAATCGGTTACATTTCAAAGGTCAGTATAGATATTTGGTGTTAATTGAAGGCTTCACTCCTGCTATAATAACTCAACAACTCCCTTTTTATTTATAAAATATAATAAATTGAAGCTTTCAACCATAAAATGTTCAAAGTTTTTGTTTTCGATGTGACAATGTCTTTCAGTATTGTAATTACTGATAAGACGATTGAAATAAAGGTATAGACTACAAATGACGTTTTTATTAAATAGTTAAACCGTAACATATCCGGCATAAAACGCCCCACCACAGCTGACAGTATAGAAATTTATAAGATTTAATAATTTTATTAATTATTCAAAATGTTGTGCATCGATTGAACTTGATGAAAATCAAGTTATCAAAATAAATAAGAACTAAAATGTGATTTAATAAAGACACGGTGTTGTCGAAACAATTGTCATGTAAAATATAATTTCATGAAAATCTGAACTTTTAGTTCTTATTTATTTTGATGTGGCGCATCCACCATTCCATCATGGTTTTTGGAAAAACTAATATTTTTTTATTAAATGCAATCTAATAAACAATTTTAATAAATTAATGGCAAGACGTATTTCAAGCAGAATAAGATGTTGATCCTTAATGAAGTTGTGAATTCTTGAGGGATTTAATGAGAAAAGTTCAAATAAACCGTGACCTAAACCTCTTAACTTTTGAGTTACAAATTGTTAAGGCGTTTTTTTAATTTTTCATCTGAGGCGTCCGCGCAGGATCTTGGGACCAATATCCCTGATGCTTCTTTTTCTAAAATTAAATATGAATTTTGAATTCACCATATGTATTAGGTAACATTCGATTTCTTGATCTTTTCATCATATTTCTGCCAAATTAAACTTTGCAGTTCCACAAAACAAAGAGTTTCGCTTCTTATTTCCCTTTTTAAACATGGCGATGTGCAGTCAATGGTTAAAAAGTTAATTAAATTATCTGTCCTAAAAAATGACTATTGGTGCCTAAATGATCCAAATTTCATAAAAATACTGAGAAGGTTATAAAATAAGATTTTTTTTTCTTAAAACTTCTAAAAATCTGAAACGCCCTGTAAGTCTGAATAACGTAAGAAATTTTAAATATATTCATGGTGGTAGTGCTCGTGGTCTCTGACTCGAACACAGAGTAGCGATTGAAACAGCTTAACTAACCTGTCTTGGTTTCAGTCTCTGATTTGTTCTGTTCCGTTGATGGTTGACGGGCGCGGTATGCGCCTCGGCTCTGCCTCTAGTTAAGGTATAGGTGCAAACGAATGTGTCTAAACTCGCTATAATTTTCATTATATCAACAATAAGTATTTGTTAACGATTCGACTGCCTGCGGTTCAGAAATAACGATTAAATATAAACGGTGAGTTAGTTTTTTGTCGAAAACACGCCCATCGTACTGTGGTTTGTAAGCACATTCTAACGATAGTGTGTGCGGAAATACCTATCTGAGTAGGTATACCGAAAAACGAAGTATTTGTTGGATGATGACAGTACAGTATAAAGCGCAATTGCATAATTATAAATCTACTTTCGAGGTTTCAGTTGAAGTTGTACTGATAAATAAAGAATAAATAAAGAATAGGTGCCAAAACTTACCTGGCAATTGTATGGTTTTTTATGTTTCCTTTCTTTTTGTTTCGCAATTGTGCTTCTTATCAAATTGTCGTTAACTATCAACTTCGTGGAATTGTTAATATGGTTTGTTTTGCTCTAGTTGCAGTTAATTTCTTCCAAAAATGCGGGAGTACAAAATAGTAGTGTTAGGTTCTGGTGGTGTGGGAAAGTCTGCGCTTACAGTACAGTTTGTGCAAGGAATTTTCGTAGAAAAATATGACCCAACGATAGAAGATAGCTATAGGAAACAAGTAGAAGTTGATGGACAGCAATGCATGTTGGAAATTTTGGATACAGCTGGAACAGTAAGTGATTTGTAAACTATATGACTCATTTGCCAGTAATGGCTATGTGTAGGAACAATTTACGGCGATGAGGGATTTGTATATGAAGAATGGCCAAGGATTCATTCTGGTATATTCAATCACAGCTCAGTCGACATTTAATGATTTACAAGATCTTAGAGAACAGATTTTAAGAGTTAAGGTGAGAATTTGGTGTATTATTTTTGGTGATTTGTTAAGGAACTATTTGTAGGATACGGATGATGTTCCCATGGTGTTAGTTGGTAACAAGTGTGATTTGGAAGAAGAAAGAGTTGTAGGGAAAGAACAAGGAAGTAGCCTGGCCCGACAGTTTAACTGTGCCTTTATGGAAACCTCTGCCAAAGCAAAAATTAATGTTTATGATGTAAGTAGGTAATTTTTTCTTTCCGAACCTTTGTGGACTTTTTGTATTTTTGAAATCATTTGGTTTAAGGAATTATTTGTTATTCTGTGTTAGTGTGGATAAAAATAAATGTTAGTTTTCACTATACTTACTAGGTTTTGAAATGTAAACATTAAAAAGAGTAAAATTTGTTTATTTAGTTTATAGTATAAGATTGATTGTGAGTTTACTTTTGTTGCAGATATTTTATGACTTAGTCCGACAAATCAACAAAAAATCTCCAGAAAGGAAACAAAAACAGAAAAAGAAATCGATTTGTGTGCTTTTGTAATTGGTATGATTACTTGGAACCAAAAAGTATGTTATAAAATTCATTACTCAAAGACTTGAGAACATCAAAAGGTGTAATAGTGTAACAACGCAGAGCAGAGGCAAGTGCGTGGACTTGCAGTGAAATTAATTAGTTAAATAAATCAATTATAATTTTAATCTAGCTCCGAATTTTGTGAAGCCATCTAAAAATTATCAAATTTATATTATGGTTTCATTTCATCTTAATATTTTTCCAAGGTCAAGGTTGTTATTGTAATACTAGTTGCAATTTTAGACATAGGGTATTTGTAATACTGCCAATATTGTGGTGTCAAATAGCGATAGTTTTGCGAACTAGTGCATATTTTAAAGACAATATTTCAAGATTCAATAATTTTTCACTTACACCTTTTTGTAATGACTCACTAGACAGTGTAGAATGTGAAGTGTCATACATTCGCGTCGACAGAATCCCTTTGGTGCTTTTCTGATCTTCGTCGCTGTCTATTTGGGATTTTCTTGTTGACAGTGCTCCTTATTTTATTTTGTATCTCCATGGCGCATGTCCCCATGCTAAGAATCTATTATGATATTGGGCAGTGATAGCTGGTAGATAATATACTACCCCTACTAACATAAAAATTGATGCGCCTGAGTTGGCTATTATATTTTCATAGAGATGCTCTTTGCTCCATTTTCTTTACTTAACTCCTTTTTGCTTGAAAATTTCATGTGGGCATATTTTGGAAAAATACTGCCCTAAAAATGTTGCGTCCATGCTTATTGACGATCTATCAGCGGCCGTGTTGGTTATTGAATGCAGGTGTCATTGGTGAAAACCAGTGATTTTAAATCTCGCGCATGCGCATGTTGAATGGATCTTAATTTTTTTATTTGTAGAAGTGCTTGTATTGTTAGCATTGGCAGGGTCTTTGTAACTCTGATAGATGTGTAGTTTCTGCATAGCATGAATTTGTTAATTATTACTCTGTTTTATTGTTGTTGACTTTAAAAGAAATTGAATATTTTGACCTGCTACAATTTTAATTTTAACGCATATATCACTATTCCATCTATCACTTCAGGACAGAACAAAACAAAAAATTATCGGGGCCTTGAGCAAAAGACGCAACAATAACATTTTTTCGAGGAATTTTCGTAAAAATTGAACTTATTTGCACTGGTTTGCATTTCAATCGTTTCGATGTAGCAATCTGCTCGTGTGGGGTCAACACGTTGGTTTAAATCATTTCAACTACCTTCGTTAGCATCGTTTTTGACACTAATTGGGATACCTCACTTATCTTTAAATATATAAAGATGCAGCTTTAGTGGTAGTGCGCTAAAAATATGGTCTAGGAAAATTCCACTTGTGCTATCTTTCTATCTTTAAAGATAAGCAATACCCTGGTTTATTTGAAATTATATATACCTGACACGTTCTTTACAATCATATTTTGTTATAAAACACCCTTAATCATAATTGATAGGTGAGCACGCTTATCGCATAAAGATAGTGTATCATATATTTTCTTAAAGAATTATTCTATAAACCAATAATGTTGATAATATTATCCCTTGTTTTCACATAGTGATTCACGGATGAAAAAATGTCATGAAAAATTGTTTCTTTATATCATCCGTCCTAAACGTCTGCCAGATTTCAAGCGCAATTCAACAAATGATCGGATCATATCCTGGAATAATTTTTCACCACGTTATGGCTTTGTTATCGATAAACCTAGATATAATTTTTTAAATGAACAAGAGTACCAATATTAGCCGAAAACGTTTTTGGTGCATCATTTGATGGAGTAACAATTTAGCACCTGTCGCGATTTTGATCTGAACTAGAAAACTCTAGATTAGTCTATTGTATTTAATAATTAGAAAGTACCAATTAGCTTAATCACCTTGTGTATATGTTTCAAAGTATCGCTTCTAATTGTGTTTATGTATTCTTTCTGGAATGATTTCGGTCGGTGCAAAGATGCAGTTGCAAGAACAAATAATTTTTTCCAAAATTAAATTGTATATATAACATGTCGAAGTGAAAGGCCCGCTAAAGGAGGTACATATATTCAATAACCACTTTGACACAGATATCAGAATATCAAATTTAGGATAGGCATAGGGAAAGCATATTCGGCTGCTGTTTTCGCACCTGCCTTTTGCACGATTCTGGTCGAACATCTACTTTCCACCTGAGAACGTAAGACACTTATACCAATTTTTATGCCATTATGTTAAGAATATAATGTATAGGTATCTATTATAATAATATATTTTGTAACAAAACTTTCTTTCAGGTTAATAATTCATTTACAATAGGTGTCAAAACGTGTTTCCATTATGTTAAAAAGAACTGTATAAATTGTTTTTCTAGTGTTAATATATAGATGTATTCTATAATGCTAAATACATTTCAAAGTATTTGGAGTTGTTGCTATTTTGATTTTGTTCCGGTTTTATCCAAATTGCGAGTCATGCTGTGATTGTTTTTAATGGGCGAGCTAGCCTAGCATTATGTAGAATCTATTAAGTACATATTTTAATAATTTATTACATTTTTTCTACTCTCGCATTGTTATTTAATAAATGCTTTGTTATTATAAGAACAATAATTGTTATGAAGCACATTTTTTTTAAAGATTTTATTATTGTGCGTTATTAGAAAACATTTATAAGTATTAATTAAAGTCCCCAGGAAATTAAAGCGAAAACGAATTTGTTATGTTGTGGTGGTCGCGCGTATATTTTTTTTTACAATCTTGGCGAATGCGCCAGACTTGTAATTCGTTGTGAGCTAACTAATAATTAGTCTTACCTAGAACTAATAAGAATCACGAAAATATAAATTTTCTGCAACAACCCTAAATGTACATAGTCATGTTATATTTTTCAAAAGGTTACGTTAAGTTCCATTATTGAAATGTTTTAAATTAAACTCATTCGGATTATTTTACAATAATACAAAAATTGTTTTATAGGCAACTCTCATTACACATTACTATTTTCATAATTCTATATTTTTTCGTGGTTTTTATATTTTACTTTAGCAAAATCTGTAGAGGGTTCAAATTTTGCACCATGTTAAAGAAAAACTTATGTATCAGATTTATAATTTAGAATAAATAATAGCTTTTTAAAAATTTGTGCTATATAAATAATGCTTTTAAATGAAAAACAGTAATAAGAATTTATAAGCTGATATGATAACTAATATAAAATTACTACAAATAACAATTCCGGCGCATTCGCTAACATTGCAACAATGGGGGCATTCATCTTCACAGCATAACGTATGCACCAACAAAATGATCAAATTCATTTTTGAGTTTTATATTGATTGCGAATTTTTATGAAATGTTTCATAACGTTCCAAAAAGTACGGTGACGATGGCTACTACTACGCTTTTTTTATTTTTTGTTAACCATTTTTGCATCGTTGAAGAATAATTCGCCATCCGCCTAAATTTGGTACGCAACTTTTTAAGAATTTGTGCTATAGAGTGATGTAAGTGTTCTTAACTGAAATTGATATTGGGTTACAGTCACCGAACTATTCAAAACCATTATTAACTACTGCAGTTACTGATATAATTATTCACTTTAAACGCGGAACTACGGTAGAATGAAACTGTCGTAAAGCCATCAAATTAATTACTTCAATGTTTACCAACTATTGCGATAGCGAAAAGCGTTTCTCACGAATTATCGTGCGTTTGTCCTTACAATTTTATTTCTGATCGGTGAGAATATCAGGTTGTAGTTAATATATCGTTAAAATTGAAATAAATTTACTTTCGAAAAAAAAATTGTACCAAAAATTTATGAACCTATCGGGTGAACATTTAAGACAAAATGTCTTTATGACCGAGACGGGAAATTTATAGTGACCCATTAAGTAAAAATTCAAAATTGATCGACAGAGACGGCAACGTAGGGGGTTATAGTTTATCACGCAATACGAACCTTTATCAATCTGTACAGTCAAGTCACTGCTCCACCCCAAGAAACACCTGAGTTAGTTCTTTCGCGTGCCGCCGTGGAACACGAGAATAATAATCGAAAATGTGCCGCGTAAATTTGAATTTTTTCTTTATTTTAACGGTGCTCTACACTTGCTTAGCTCGAGACGTGCTTAAAGTGGATATTCCCAATCAGGGGGTCGTTATAGGACAAGAATTGTCACGATTTAGAATACAAAAAATTATTGCATTTTATGGAATACCCTACGCGCAACCCCCTTTGGGAGCGTACAGGTTTTCTCCACCCATTACAAATCCCCTGCCTAATTGGCAGGGCGAGAAAAATGACTCTGATTACCAACCGGCGTGTCTTCAAGGAAAGGAAGATTATAAAGAATCTGAATTACCACTTTTGCAGTTGCTGGCCAATATAGAGTTCCCTAGTAATATCAGCGAGGACTGTTTGTATCTCAACGTATTTACACCACAAGGTAAGATGCTAACAAGTTTAGTATTTTTTTTAGATTAGCGTTATAATAATGTATAAATTCATTAGTTTCCTGAATTAAACTAAATATCGCGGACGTTTCAAGAAAGCCGTTATTATTAGGGCAACCAGTAAAGTTTACAAAGTTAAATGGTGTTGCCAATATAATCTCAGTTAGTCAGTAGATTAAAATCAAAGCAACGAAACTATGAATCGATAATTTCTGTAGGTAAAGCTTTGTCTACAAACGGGCCTTTCCTATTTCCCTCTGTTATGTCGGTACGGTTAGATAGAATGCTGCGACGTGGAGTCAAAAGTAGGGGAAGACAAATTTTAAACACGCAACTACTTTACTGCAAATTTTCGTTAGATCATCGCCTGCAGGAAACGCAATAGGGAACGGAGCTGATTTTAGAAACTTTGTTTTCTGTACTGCAGTTTAAGTGGATATCAGCGTTTAAAATTTTTTTGCTTACAGGGTGTTTTCTGATTGAATATCAATAATTATGGCGGCGATTTTTGGGTCCACTTTAAAAAGAAAACTTTATATGAATATATGTCCTAAACGTCCTAACTTTTGAGTGGTAAAGTTTTCAAAAATAAAATATATTTCTTAACATCTGTAATACCACTAGATATTTTAATTAAATTTGGCATACATGTACATTTTTTTTAAACACATCAGTGCCGGGCGTACGGAATTTCACATGTCTATTTTGGCACGCCACTGATTTCTCTTAAAATAAAAATTATTCTTACAATCTCCAATCATTTTTAAAGAAATTTAATTTCTTGATTTTTTCAATCTGTTGTACGGTTTTCGCTTAAAAGAATAAAAACCTCTTCTCTGCATGGTCATAACAATGTCGTTATGTGACATCATGCAGAGAAATTAATTTTTATTTTTAAGTGAAAACCGTGCGACGGACTAAAAAATAATTTAGATGTCACTATTTTTTTTAAAGAAAATCAGTGGCGTGCCACTATGAACAAATAATATTTTGGTTAATTAGGTTGCCACTGCACTGCTTCAATCGAGACCTTTGTTAATGACAAATAAAATATCTATCTAAAACAAAATATTTAGTTTTTAGTTACCAACTAGTGTTGTAGGCCAGCAACAAGATAAACGATTCTTATTTCAATTTACTATATTCATTTTTGTTTTATTTTAATAAAACGTACGCCCGCCACTGCTATATTTTTAGGAAAATTGTGATACACGAAATAATGAATCTTGATATATAGCACATGTATGCCAAATTTCATTAACATATCTAAAGTGGTATTACAGATATTAAAAAAAATTAAAGCTGTATATCAAAAGTCATGATATTTAGGACATATATTGATATGAAGTTTAGAAAATAGACCCAAAATTCGCACCCGGTATATCTAGTTATGGACCAGAATTTCATCAAAAAATTATTGCATTATCAAAATCAAAAAATATTGTTGACTATTTTATTTATTATAATTGTAATATTTATTTAACTAATAATAACGAAAACTTGAGTGGCAATGAGAAAAAAAGGCTACATCGTTATTGTAGATGCGTCTATTTCAGTCGGTTCACCCAATTTGTAATACGTTAATTATAATAACAATGTTAAATTGTTAAATTTAATCAAACTAAAATTAGGTATCGATAATATAAAAGAAAGAATGAAAGAGCCAACGTCTCAACAGTGAATATTAAATACAGTGTGTCCCACTTAAGAACTGTACACCCTTGTAAAATCTTTGTTTATGGTTCAATTTTGATTTTTTTTTGTTGGATAGAACTCTCAAAAATACACTAAAACCTTGTTTTGCTTATGGCTTCATCCTAAAGTCATGGCGAACTGGAACTATTTAACACAAGAGAGAGGAATGTGCTATTGCGGATGTTTTAAGAATAAATTGTCAACGAATTCTTACTCAGGAGTACTTAGAACCTAACTATCATGTTTCAATACAGGGTGTTTCAAATATCGTTTGCGTTTACATTCTTGTAAAATTTGTGATTACGGTTATGTTGTACTTTCCATAGATAGATAGATTTTACTGAAAGACACTTACGATTTTTTTAAAGTTAGGTATGGTAATTCCTCATGAATTAAACAGAGTTTTCAACGCTGTATTTTTCATTTAACACTTATTTTTAATTCTAATTAAATAATGAAAATAATAGAAATAACAAAATTGATTGACGTTGGCATTCTTGTTATAATTTTATTTATCCCTACCGCAAACAAAATAAAATAATTGCATTCGAATTAGACAAGTTTGTCATAGAATTACTGAACAAGAGCTAAGTAACGTATTTAGCAACCGTCACAGGCGCATTGGAATAACTAATATTTATTTTCTTTTTTTCCAAAATTCCATTTGCTATAGGTTGGTTATTTTTATTATACATGCTTTATATTATTGAATATGATCCTTGCTTTTTTTTCATTTATTAGAAAGCTTTCTACGTCCTAAAATCGAAAATGTTTCTCACTCATATAGGTATTTAAAAATGTTATTTTAAATTCGCAACTTAGAAATGTTATCGGTTTTATGAAATCAAACGAATTTTTGAACAGTTCGAGTTTATTCAAATATCTCGCACACTTTTCCAAATTTCGTCATTTATTAGTTTAAGAGAATTTAGTACCTACAATATACCTTTCGAATGCTATAGGTTTATTAATTAATTAGCTCATATTTGAAGATGATATTAAAAAATAAAGAACCCTTAAAAAAATATTTGAAGTCTTTTTTATTTTTAAAATTTCTGTAATTGAAATGTGTTTGTAAGATCTTGCAATCACACTGAAAATAATCTTTATTTACAAGGTCAATATTTGTTAATCATTAAAAACTTTGGTATTTGGTGTAGTTACTTTTGGGTAGTCCTGAATACGAATCTCTAAAAATCTTTAAAAGTACCACTGATTTTCCGCTTCAAAAATTGTGTCAATTGGTAATTACTTTAGTCGATGCTATATGAAAAAAATCGTTTCACTGCTTTTTAGTAAGATCTATCGCAACAAAAAACAATTTGTTGACACTTTCTTTATAAAGAAACCTTTAATAGCCTTTCTCGATGTTCGGCATTAAAAAATAGTGACAGTTGGCTATGACTCCAGATGGAAGTAATATACAAAAAAAAAATCAAAATCAAACCGTCTTCATAGATTTTACAAGGATGCAAAGCCTTAAGCATGATGCAAGCGATATTTTAAACACCCTGTATTGAAACATGAGAGAAATTGATATAGTTGGGTTTTAAGCACTCCTGAATAAGAATTCGTTGCCAATTTATTCTTTTAAAAAATCCCTTATAGTTTTCTCTCTTGTCTCTCTTTTGTTAAACAGTCCCAGTTGGCCATGGTTTTAGTTTGAAGCAATAAGCAAGAGATCTATCCAAGAAAAAAAGTCAAAATCGAACCATAAGCAAAGGTTTTACAAGAGTGTACAATTCTAAGTGGGACACACTGTAGAATAAATGACCAATGATTTTTAAATTCTAAGCCCTTAGTTTTCAGTTCGTAGGGAATTTTATTCTTGAACAACTTAGGGTACAGAAATGGTCGGTGCAAGACTTGTGCGTGGCAGTCGAATTCTAATACGACATAAGCACGCTACAAAATGGCGTTAGCGCTATAACGACGTCCGGTCCTGGTGCACTGACATTTTGTTTATGTTCACGCGACAATTCCGAGTCAACGAATCCTAGATTGCAGTTTATTTTTAAACTGTAAACGAATTGAAATTGTCTAGAAAAAAAAACATACGGAGGAAATCAAAAGAACATTTACATAGTCGACATTTACGGAGAATATATACTATTCTCGTGCACACACACACTCTCCAAGCGTAGCGTATTACCCTACATATTCGCTAAAGTCAGTTGCTGGTATTTAGATATATGACTCCTTTCGAAAGCTTTGTTAACCTTTAAAAAGCTCTAGGGAAACGCTTTCTGTCCTACGCTGATTGTTTTTATTTTGAAATTTTATTATTTCGAGGGGGTTTGATTTTATATCGCTTCTTTAAGATTATTCGATTTAGTGATTAGTGGGTACATTTTACAAAACTTCTGGATTCCTCCGGCGTCGGTTTTTGCTGAGTCGAAATTGCTGACGTTTCGCCAATCATCCTATTTGCTTCTTCAGAGCTTGACTGAAACTGTTGGTTAGTGGGTATTTATTTCGGAATGGATTTGCAAACCTTCAGTAAATCATAATCTCCTTTTTTGAGAGATAAATCCTGCTCACTATATCTTTTAATCTGATATGGGTGTTTTTTACGAAAGGCTAATTTTTAACAATAAGTCAGAATTTCTGAAAAACCAGTCGGAAACTCTGACATAAATCTCTCATAGGGGTTGGCGCTAATCGAAACATCAGGTTTACAGGGTGATTTATAAATAACGGGCAATTTCTAAACTGAAGGTACTAGACACCAAAATATTACGTGATTCCAAGATTTGGTTTGAATTTTTTGTTATTACTATTATCAAAATTGTTATTTTTAAATATTGTTTTTTTTTCTTGCTCCCCTTACCATTTTATCTTTTAAGTATTTATTTAAAAAAATATCTTGAACTTTTACAAAACCGACAAAGTTAGACGGCCGAAAGAAAAGTACTTTTCACTATGTTTAAACCATAACTCCACAGATAAAAACATATGATTCGATTTATCTCAATAATACGGTGAAATTTGTGCCCTCTAGGAGTAATGTCCAAATCAGTTTTAAATTCGTAATTCTCAGTCCAAAAAACTGCCTGCAATTTTTCAAGCAATTATTATTATAATTTTATACAAATTTCAAATCAAAATATTATAGTCTATTTAGTACCTCTAGTTTAGAGACTAGCCATACTTTATAAATGACCCTATATCTGGTGTTAAACTATTAAACTAAAACCTATATTTGGCCATCTTGGCTTGAAAAGTGCATCTAATTTGTTATAAAAGTGAATAGTTTGACAATTTAAAAAATACAAAGAAACAATGTTTTTATTAACGTCGTTAATACTCACAGAGTGATCTTTAAGGAAAACCACCGCCTGGAGGATTTGCTACAATTATATGGTTCCATCCCGGTAATTTCACCACGGGAATCCCTTCAATTTGGGACCCACATACCGTAGTGTACCGTCAAAGAGTAATTATCGTCACATTTTCGTGGCGTTTGAATATTATGGGATTTTTCACTACAATGGATGGCGAAGCCCCTGGAAATTATGGCCTGATGGATCAGCAAGCAGCCATGCAATGGGTCAAAAACAATATCCAATTGTTCGGAGGTAATCCTGAAAATATTTGTATTATGGGATATGGGACAGGTGCGACGAGCATTGGAATTCACATGACGAATTCAGGTTCCAGGTTAGTAAATTATTAACGTAATACAGGTTGAAACCCGATTTTCTTGATCCGATGGTGGAGGTACAAATTGTTTTTTTTTTTATTATTTTCGCTTATTACAGAAACAAATAGACAAGTCGCAGCTTTTTTTATAATTTTTAAAAAACAGCTTTTTAATTTTCTGAAATTAAAAGGAAAAAAACTACTGCAGAATTTGCCTCGGGTTATCAACAAGAAATAAAGTTACCTGTATTTTTTTGTTTCGTTAATATTTCGCGTGCGCTTAAATGGTAATGTATTTCGGTATACTGGGGTGTTCATGTCGACCGTGACTTAATATTAAAGCACTGCAGATGTCGTTAAAAAATATTCTTAATCTGCATACGGCATAGAAGTCAAGGTCAAAAACGACCGTATATTTAATAAATCTGAATCTGAGTCAATTTAGAAACGCTAAAGCTGCTACAATTATCGATTCATAGGGACAATGACGTAGGAACACTAAAATGTCATAATATCATTGTTTTGCGGGGCGGAACGTTTTGTAGATGCAAATATCAGAGTGCGAAATCTTTTAAACTCTTTTGATAGATTTCATGTTTTTTCGAAAAGTACTGCTTTTATAGTCCAGCACATGATAAATAGTCATCACTTGCATGGCCTATTACAAATGGCCCTTTACCCTCAATAAACCACGCAATAACCCAAAAGCCGATTTACAAGTGTTTAATAGTGTTACAATAATTATTAGTTATATTTAGGGAATGGAAAAGAGTCAAAAAGAGTCATTTGAATATGTGCTGCTAGAGTCTTGTTTTACGAGTATGTGAAGGTAAATTTTATACAATACTTATATTTTTATCTTGATTATCGGACAATCGGGCATACTGTTTCTACGTGTTTCAATTTTTAAAAAACTGTATGAAGGACATGAGTCATCGTTTACTATAACATTCCAGAAACTTTGACAGAGCAAAAGTCGGATAATAATTTTTATTTTTTCATTAAAACGTCAGGAGGCATAGCCAAGTTATAGTCTGTCTCAATCTTCATCGTGTTGGCTTTCGACGGACCCTCCCCAATAAAACTATAACGATGTCATTACCTATTGTTATTGGGAAAACCCATTAACAAATAGTATATTATGCAACAAGTGCGGTAAACGGGATTTGACTTATGAGTTTATATGACACGAGCGGAGCGAGTGTTTATTAAACGAGTGAGTTAAAAAGTTTACCGAACGTGTTGCATACTATACTTTTTCTACGACCGTTAGTTTTTGGGTACATTTTCGCAAAACAAGAATACATTCCCTGACATGACCGTCAGAATTGACAGACGTCAAAATTCAAAGTGTGGGAAATATCTCCGAAAACATCCGATTGCTCCCAAACCCACGCGGTAAAATCTCGGAAATGTCCGAAGTGGCTCGGATTCGTGGGAAACGAAACTGACGTCGTAAAACTACGCTTCCCGCACGCTAGATTAGGTATTTTACAGACGGGAGTAGAAAAAAAATTATTCTTACTTGAGGGCCAGCTATTTTTTTCTTTCTGATATATTTCTTGAGTGTTGTGCATTACTTTACTGTGCGTTTCGAAAAAGTTATTTGTTATTGATGCAAAACAGGTTGTGAAAAATGTTTATGAAACTTTAATCAGTAGAGGAATTATTCAAAAACAAGCTTTAAAAGAAACCTGTCTATTTACAAAATCGTCCATAAGGGATATTATTAATAGTGGAGAATTGAAGAAAACGAATAAACTAGTGATTTATAAACTCACCATATGCACAATAGTGATCAAGAACTAATAAGAAGGAATAGTATATTATGCAACAAGTGTGGTAAACGGCATTTGATTCGCGAGTTTATTTGGGGGAACCAGAGTGACGAGCGGAGCGCATCGGAGCCAGTTTTTAATAAACGCGGAAGTTAAAAACTTTACCGAATACTACACTTTTTCTACGACCGTTAGTTTTTGGGTACATTTTCGCAAAACAAGAATACATTCCCTGACATGACCGTCAGAATTGACAGACGTCAAAATTCAAAGTGTGGGAAATATCTCCGAAAACATCCGATTGCTCCCAAACCCACGCGGTAAAATCTCGGAAATGTCCGAAGTGGCTCGGATTCGTGGGAAACGAAACTGACGTCGTAAAACTACGCTTCCCGCACGCTAGATTAGGTATTTTACAGACGGGAGTAGAAAAAAAATTATTCTTACTTGAGGGCCAGCTATTTTTTTCTTTCTGATATATTTCTTGAGTGTTGTGCATTACTTTACTGTGCGTTTCGAAAAAGTTATTTGTTATTGATGCAAAACAGGTTGTGAAAAATGTTTATGAAACTTTAATCAGTAGAGGAATTATTCAAAAACAAGCTTTAAAAGAAACCTGTCTATTTACAAAATCGTCCATAAGGGATATTATTAATAGTGGAGAATTGAAGAAAACGAATAAACTAGTGATTTATAAACTCACCATATGCACAATAGTGATCAAGAACTAATAAGAAGGAATAGTATATTATGCAACAAGTGTGGTAAACGGCATTTGATTCGCGAGTTTATTTGGGGGAACCAGAGTGACGAGCGGAGCGCATCGGAGCCAGTTTTTAATAAACGCGGAAGTTAAAAACTTTACCGAATACTACACTTTTTCTACGACCGTTAGTTTTTGGGTACATTTTCGCAAAACACTTCATTCACATTCACATTCACTGACATGACCGTCAGAATTGACAAACGTCAAAATTCAAAGCGTGGGAAATATCTCCGAAAACATCCGATTGCTCCCAAACCCACGCGGTAAAATCTCGGAAATGTCCGAAGTGGCTCGGATTCGTGGGAAACGAAACTGACGTCGTAAAACTACGCTTCCCGCACGCTAGATTAGGTATTTTACAGACGGGAGTAGAAAAAAAATTATTCTTACTTGAGGGCCAGCTATTTTTTTCTTTCTGATATATTTCTTGAGTGTTGTGCATTACTTTACTGTGCGTTTCGAAAAAGTTATTTGTTATTGATGCAAAACAGGTTGTGAAAAATGTTTATGAAACTTTAATCAGTAGAGGAATTATTCAAAAACAAGCTTTAAAAGAAACCTGTCTATTTACAAAATCGTCCATAAGGGATATTATTAATAGTGGAGAATTGAAGAAAACGAATAAACTAGTGATTTATAAACTCACCATATGCACAATAGTGATCAAGAACTAATAAGAAGGAATAGTATATTATGCAACAAGTGTGGTAAACGGCATTTGATTCGCGAGTTTATTTGGGGGAACCAGAGTGACGAGCGGAGCGCATCGGAGCCAGTTTTTAATAAACGCGGAAGTTAAAAACTTTACCGAATACTACACTTTTTCTACGACCGTTAGTTTTTGGGTACATTTTCGCAAAACACTTCATTCACATTCACATTCACTGACATGACCGTCAGAATTGACAAACGTCAAAATTCAAAGCGTGGGAAATATCTCCGAAAACATCCGATTGCTCCCAAATCCGTGCGGTAAAATCCCGGAAATGTCCGATGTGGCTCGGATTCATGGAAAACGAAACTGACGTGGTAAAGTGAAGCTTCCCGTACGCTAGATCGGTGAGTAATTAGGTATTTTACAGACGGGAGTAGAAAAATATATTGTCTTTATCAAAGCAAAGTTATTCCTACCTTCGATAAACTGGAAAAGAAGCTAGAAGCTACTTTCAAGAAATTAAAAGATATAGATTAGACAGCAGATCCATAATTTACCTTGATGAAACATGTTTCGATGCATACGTCACTTTATCCAAAGGATGGGTGGATTCCACTCAAAACCGCCATTCAAAAGCACGTTCAAATAAAGGGAAACGCATCGCCATAATACACTTAAGAAGACAGATTTGTCCCAAACTGCTTGAGGATACAAGTGCCGAACTTTTTGAAAATTGGTTTCAAAACATTCTTTTAAAAAATATTCCCAATAACAGTGTTATTGTCATGGACAACGCAAGCTACCGCAGCCTTCTGCCACTTAAAGCACCAGCCTCATCAAGTTCAAAAACTGAAATCCAGGAATATTTGTTAGAAAATGATATTTATTTTAAATTTAATTTCTTTACAAAACAATGACGACTGTGATAGTGAAGCAGAATTTGATTTAGACATTTAGAATTAAAATTTAATTATGTATAGATATTCGTAGCTATGAATTTATTGTATATGTTCTGTCCTTTAATACCTACCGGATCCGAGTTTTATTGCCGTCGGCAGGTCACTTCCATACTTGCTGGCAAAAGCCAGCACGATGAAGATTGAGACAGATTATAGCTGGCATTCCAAGGTCTTCGTCGTCAAAGGTGTATTGAAAGTGTTTAGGAATGGTGACGCAGAGTGGATTTAGATTCCGTCACTTGAATCATTGCAACAGAAATTAAAACAAAATATTGACAAGTATAGTTGCATTAAAGAGACAGAACGATTGGTGGAATGGAGACAAAAATATTATATATACCTATCAAAAGAGAAAGGGTCGCAAAATTCTTCAACGTATACATTTTGATTGTATCTGAATGTAAAGAAAGAAGAGTATGCATTTTTAAAGACTGCTCATTAAATTACCGCCAGGCCACGACAAGTGAACTTTTAGAAAAATGGAAAAAAAATCTCTTCTCTCAAATATGCCACCAGGCAGCGTAATAATTTATGATAATGTTATTTATCACATCACTTCTGGCGACTAATTTTATTTAATATGTATTTATTATTTATATAATTAAAATTATATAGTGCGCATTACAACGGAACGTATTCAATGTTTTGCGTTTTTTTGCGACCATTTATCGTGTTTCGGACTATATACCATTTTGTTCGAAAAATCGTGTTTTTTAATTCCAGGGGCCTCTTCAATAAAGCGATAGCGATGAGCGCAAATTTATTTCAGTCCACCTCGGTCAGATACCCCGAAGAAGACAAGCCAATCATAGACCAATTAGTTACAGATTTCGGATGTATAAGAAAACCGACGTCATTGTTCATCGATTGCTTAAGACACGTCGATCCGAATCTGTTGGTGCAACAAACGTCAAACGTGAATTGGAGACCACTGATCGATAAAGATTTGAGCCACAATAATAGCGCACCGTTTCTGCCGGAACCGCCGAAAAACTTATTTTCCCGCGGGGAATTTCAACGGGTGCCTTTGTTGACGGGCTACACCGACATGGAACAAGCGCTGGAATTTGCGAATTCCGACAGTTTCGCAGGAAATTTTTCCTTTGAGGTTTTGCGACAAATGTTAAGACAACTCGCTATGGCCGACGTGCCCCAACTAAACGACACAGACGATTCTTGCCTTTACAACTACGACCACATAGTTGACGCCGCGATGTTTTTTTATTCGCCGACTGTGTTAGAAAGCAATCCGGACAACTTTAGAAAGATCGTTATCAATTTTATGCTGGAGAAAACTTACGCTTCCTCGACGGTGCTTTTAGCGACTTACATGAGCAAAGAGCAACCAACTTATGTGTACCGATTTGACATGAAACCAACTACGTTGTACGCCAATAAAAATATCCCGGATTGGGTAAGCGTACCCCATCTGTTCGACCTTATTTACGTATGGGGGGTTCCCTATTGGGACTCGGAACAACAGTGGGACCCAAGGGACAAACGAATATCAGACACAATTATGTCATTTTGGACTAATTTTGCAAAGAATTCCGATCCGACTGAAAAGAGCATTTATCCCGTCAAGTGGTACCCGTTTGTCCAAGACAATCCGAAAATTTTAATAATCGATAATAACTTTAATATGAGCACGGCGCGCAGTTTAAATTACAAAGCGTTTGAGTTTTGGAACGATTTTTACCCGAAAGTGTTCGATATCGCTACCCAGTGTTGCGGTTATTCGGAATCCAGTGCTTCCTTGCATTTTCATCAGACATCTCCCTTGGTTGTGGCAATCCTTATATTGCTTATATTCTAATTCTTTTATTTGATTAGGCTATTGCTCTACACTATCCGGTACCTAGATTAATTAATAGTAATTAGTGTAATCTCGAACAAATCTCGAAATATTAGGAAAAAAGTTATTTATATAATATTTTTGTTAGTGCTGTAAAGGAAATATCTAATATCCAAGAACATGTTATTTTAACTATTATTTAAAACAATAATCATTTTTTGTTATCAAAATTATTATAATGCAATTAGGCAAGCACTTTTTAAAAGTTCGTTAGTAACATTAATCTGAGATTACGTCATCAGCATTGCTGCGCATATAGGAGCTTCTTATTATCCCATTTATTTATATAAAAAAGACCAAACCAACAAAGTGCCCTCTGATTGCCGAAAACGTCTTCCCCTAAATGTAATTACCACAGGGAGACAATTAAAATTTAAAGTAGTAAATATTGTACACATTATCGTTTATCACTGTAGTATTTGTATTATACATAAATATTTGCAAACGATGCTTTAATAAAATATTTATTTAAACGAAATTGTTAAACTTTGTTACCAAAAAAAAAAATAAAATGTGCGGCTGTCACATTGTCATAGATATTTCACGTAATTTTTTACTCTTTTGCTAAACTATAACTATATTATTTATCTAGTACCGGCTCTTAGTATTTCTTTTATTGTCCAAACATAATTTCACGTAGCCAATGACTACTTATTTTCTCTGCGATTTCATAACTAAGACCAACCAAAAGTTGGCCATTCTGTGTTTGATTTGTTTTTTTTTCGTTTTGAGGTTATTTTCCTTTATAGTTATCATGTAGTTTACTAATTAAAGCGATCAACACAAGCGCCTATTTGCAGTCAAATATAAGCTGAGTGAGTTTGTGCTCGAAGTTAAACTTGGCTTGGATTGGTGCAAGATTTCATAAATAAATATAAATGTATTCCTCTGTCTGATTGAGATGCCGCAAGTCAGTAGACTAATGTTTAATTTTATTTTGTCAGTATTTATTTCGAATATTGTAAGTGTTTCATCGAGAAATGATTTAAAAAATGATCCTCGAAGCAACGGAGATTTGGCACTCTGGATTGATGAAAAGCAAGTAAAAATGTTTAGTGGTAAGTTAGTTTGCTAGTTACAACGCGTGTAGAACTAAAAATCTCCATATGAGTTTAGGCATGTCGATGGAGATTTATGCTATTTTAAATGGAAACGTTTTGCCCTACATTTTGGATCCTAATTTTGAGAACTATTTGCCAGTAATTCCCTCTGAAGTAAGACGTGTAAACTTCACTTGGAAAGCTGGTTTAAAAAAATATTACTACAATTTTGATCAACTTCAATCTTATGATGAAAAAATACTGCAAGCTCCTGAAATTTCTATTAAACCTCGTGGCAGGGTGCCAAAAAAACCAAAGGAGTTTAGTATATTTTTAACCTGTACTAATACATCGGGAATAGCAAGATTTGGAATAAGCTTGCTGATAGAGAACAGAAAAGGCAAAGCTTTGGATGGAACACCTCTAAGGCTTAAGCTGAGGAAGGAATGCTCATTTTCTCAAAGAAGTATGTTCTGCATTACCAACCTTTCATTTTTGTATTTAGCTATAACACACGAAAGTTATTTAAAGGTCCTGACCCCGAATGTGATAAAAAATGTGCAAATCAGGGTTGGTGTAACAATGAAAAAATTTGCCAGTGCCCTGAAGGATACATGGGTCAATATTGCAAAACGGCCTTGTGCTATCCTCAGTGTATGAATGGAGGTATTTGCACATCCCCAGGAGTATGCAGTTGCCCTCTTGGTTTTCAGGGTCGTCACTGTGAAGGTGGTATTTGTAGTCAGAAATGTCTCAACGGAGGTAAATGTGTGCAGAAAGACACATGTGATTGTTCAAAAGGATATTATGGACCCCACTGTGAATTTTGTGAGTAGTTCAAATGCTGGGTCTATTTTTTTATTGCTTGTAATTTTTAGCACGTTGTATAATCCCCTGCTTAAACGGTGGCAAATGCAAAGCAGTAAATAAATGTAGATGTCAGCGGGGATTTCGAGGTGACCACTGTGAAGTGGGTCCACGGTTTGGCAGAGCTAAACCCCACAGAAGCACCTGCGCATTGCAGTGTAAACACGGGACATGTGTGGATGACACATGCATTTGCGAACCCGGTTGGTATGGACGGCTTTGCCATCATAGTGCAGCCGCACGCAGGTAGTTATGGAGCAACAGCAACAAATTGGTACAATGATGTATAAATAAATTAAATTATTTTCCAATAATAATGTTTTTTTTTATGGATTTGGGTCCTCCTCATGTCATTGGATTAAATGACCTGCATACGCGGCAACATTCAAATTTAATATTAATATTAATATATATTTTCACTAATATAATTGGTTATAACAATAAAAGATATTAATACAAAAGGTGTTTCATTAATAACTGGAAATATCTTAGTTGTAGTAATGTTAAGGCTAACCCAAACTATTTGGCTCTTTACGGAGTTAAAAATAAAGCACCCTGTAACCCATTATCAACAATAAGTAATGCTGCAATCACGTTAGCTGGTGGAAAAAATACAACTATATAAATTTGACTGGGTGAACTTCCATGATAAAGAATTTAGTAATAGTGCTAACATGTTTTCTCCATAAAAAGTGCGAAAGTTATTTTAGTCCTAAACGTAAATGCTGTGCCCTAAAGATAGAAAATAGTTTTAAGCACAAATTACTAGTCCTTTAACAATATTTTAGTTTTGTTTTTTTTTTATATAGTATAAATAAGTCAAGTGCTTCAATGAAAATGTTAGATCCTATTAGTAAGGGTAGTGATGAGACTAGCAAGCACACTCAATAGTAAAGTATCTAAACTAGCAATATTATTTAATTTAAAACTCCCATACTGCTTCATATGCAAACTGCAGAAAGTATACAAGCAAAAACATATTTAAATAAATCCAGTCACTACAGGAGTCCGACATGGCCGTGCTAGTAAAATAGTGAGCGCCACATGCATTCATTAAAATCCAATTTCTGAGCAAGATGAAAGTATTGGCAAAGCAAGGGACATGGTCGTGCTTGCGCACGCATCTTGAAGCATTAAAAGGTGGGCGCTGTATAGGAAACTAAAAACGATTGTCTGCAATGAAGTATATACCTACATCGCGAAATTAAATTTATACTATGTCGTAACGTAAATATACGTGAAAAAGTCCTGTGTCTACGATGCCCTTCAAGTTTGCGACTGTATCAGGGATTTTGATCACGTATTTGTGTTATTTTATTTATTCTTCCAGTGGAAAATCGTATACCAAAGGTAGTTTATTTTGTGTCTTAGCGGTGTTGTTATGATGCTATAGATTATTTGCATTTTAAAATTTTGTGTACGAAATTGTTAATTATAATCGTATACGTTTAAAAACATTCGTCACACATCAGGTGATGTTTGTTTCAATAACCTATCTTACTTTCCGTAAATGACAATTAGAAATACGTAAGGATGTGCTATAGGTACCTATACCTCTATATATATGGATAATTGACCGCGGTACCCACGCGTAAGTTTACGTATTTTTAAATGGTTTGGCATTCAATATAACTATTATAATTATACCTTTCCAAGCAAAACTTGATTACCGCACTACCTACATTAGAAAATACGTATTTTAAAACGCCACCTTATTATTTTAGATACAGACTGTTCCTTAAGACAATTCGCTTGTGCCAATAAAAAATGTATTCCGATATCCTTCTTATGCGACGGAGAAAAGGACTGTGAAGATGGATCTGATGAGGAACCTTTAGAATGTTCAAGTGAGTTAAAAGCGTTTTAATTTTTATTTAGGGAAAAAGCCTTGCAGATAAATTTCTTAGGCACCATTAATTTTTGCCGGTAATAAAGCCTCAATGCTGTTAATTCAAATACAAGTGAATAAAATATTATATAAATTCTGCCTGATATTATATTTTATGAAGTAAAAATAATAAATAAATAAATAATTGTTGTTGGAGATTCTGCTTTTGCCTTTTAAGTCCGGTAGACAGGATGCAATTTCTACATGTATTTTTAGCAGGTAAAAATTGCTGTTAAAAATTTATGTATTTTTAACTGGCAATTTTTTGATGGTAGACACTCAGCAATTTTTTCAAGCAAAATGGGCTTGATTATTTTGATGGAATAAATAAACGATACTTTTGAGTGTTTATTAGTGTTAAATGGCTAAACTTTTTGTAAAGGTATTTTTACCGCGCATATAATAACTTGTGGGTGTATAAAAAAAACCATAATACCAATACTAGACACCAGAGAAATAAGGATGTTTGTTTCAAGTGCTGAATAAATTCCAATATAATACTAATTTTATTAATTTGTTCTTTAAAACTAATGCCTGACAATTGCACCTATAACATTTTTTTTAAACAAATTGCTTATTAACTTGTTTTATAATAGTTTTTAATTTTCTTGGTTCTATTTTGCAACACATACAGTTTCTTTAAAAAAATTGTCTATTGGCACTTTTTCTAATCATATATATGGGAGTATCTCATAAAGTTATAATTAGACTTTTAAGAGTCATTTTTCGTGATTTGGACCTTTTTTACATTTTTTATAGAAGTTAAGCCTATAAGTTTATGAAAACAAACGCTTTGCCGCGATTTACATGCACAAATTTGGTAAAAAATAACTGGTAATTTTATCTGCAAAATTTCTTGCAATTTGGTAGTAGACACGTTGTAACATTTACATGAGAAAATACATATACAAATTGCATCGTGTCTACGGGGCTTAAAATAGAAGCATAATACTTATTAGAGATTCTTTCTTTAACCGAAACCATTTACATAAAAAAGGATTTTTAGTTTTGCCGTTTAAAAGCCTTTGTGAACATACAAGGCAAACATTTTTTGCGAAAATTTATTACAATTTGCATTTTTCAGGCTTTAGAACAGTCGAGATCAGTTACATTAATACTGGTTTTTTCTCTGATTTGTAAATTATTGTCTGAACATAAAAAGATAAAAATTTTCTGCCGAAATATGTCAAACTAGAAATTACTTTTTACTACAGGATAGTTCATTATGTTTAGAAATATGTTTAGAAATAAAAAAAATATATTTTGGTTAGTTTCGGTTATTCTAAAGTTCGTAGAATAAAAAGAATGGATTTCTGAAATTTTATTTATATTTTTTGTTTGTTGTTTGTGAAAACTCGTAAAGGGAAAAATATATTTCCTTGCATAACTGATTTCGGCTAAACGAAAATTTTCCTCATTTTTGTATGAGATCTGTGTCCATAGTATAGCAGGTCTGTGAAAAAATTTAAGAAATATATCTGCTTTCGAAATTATACACCTTCCGCTAGGAAATAATTCTTATGTCATACAAGTATTCAAAAACATGTCGTCTTCACCGATAAATTAGAGAAAAACATGGTATCCGGAATTCTGTCACCCAATTCCTTTCCAAAATTATTTTTTTTTGCAAAACGTATGTTATTGTATTCGTTAGGCCGATCGAATATTAGCTGCAATAATAACGAGACCCAAAATGAAAATGATTATTTTACTATAGATGATACGTACATTTAAAAAAAAGATTGATAGTATTATTATATACATTATGGCAACATAAATCATGAATGAAGGTGAATATAATGTGCGTTGATAATCCGTGTATAATGCGTCTTATTAAAAAAAAATATTCCTGTTTATATACACTTTAACCTCTCGAAATGGTTGTTACAAATAGGTCGCAGTCAGAAATGCGATAATGATTTATGCAATAATTTACGCAGTTTGAATCCTAATATGGGTCAATTTATTTGTTATCCTCATTTTTGTGCCGTTAATTAATCCTGTCAACTTCGCAAACTTTAGAGGTATTACTTCCGTATCACTTTGTAGTTACAAACGCACTCCAACAGATATCTTGGCGGATGTGCTTATATACGCTTAAAAAATCTAGACTTGCCGTGCATGGAAGCTTACGTATAAATGTTCTAAAATTAGATTTATTTCATAAACCAAACATATACATACATACAATCCATTCCGAAAACGAGGAAAGTTTCAGCAGCGGAATAAAAATTAAAGCTACTCTAAAAGAAGTTATTAAAAAAATAACTAATTAATCAGAAAATGTGGTAATTTGTCCAAACAAAACTGTTTTTATTCTTGTACTATTGGTATTTTTCTGTTGTTTATGCCTCCTCCAAAAAAGATATTCCTGTTTTTTCAAAATGTCGACAGTCGGTTGGAAAACTGCCGTGCATTTTTAGCACGAAATTGCGAGTTAGTTATTCTGCTAGTTGGCAGCCTTGGAAATTGTTGCAGGGGTATAATTTGGCTGGTTTGCCTTTTTTGCAAAAGATCGCTACAGTAAAGACGCAGAATGTTACATCAGCCCGCGTTGGTACCCCCGGGCCATGAAATTGTATTTCTTTGCTGATCCTTATTTATATGGCTTATAAGAGTCAAAACTGTTATCGGTGTTTGCGGATCAGGGGAAACCAAAGTACTAAGAAGCCGCGGTAAAACATTTCTACTCAAAATCTCGCTGGATTCGGTCGTCTCAACTTTGGCACTATCAGCTAGCAGAGTGATATGGGTTTTGTTGTTAATTTTGTGTTGTTTATTTTGTCGATCGATCTATCATCAGCACTCGTTTATGAAGAAGGTTAGTCAATTTTTTTTATAAATATTTTTAAACGTGCTTAATTAAAAGAGAAAGTTTATACTGCCCTATTTTGGAAAAAGACACTTATTGCAAGTTTAGCTCTTGGCGCGTCCCTAAATAATATTTTTTGTGTCGATTCAATTTGGAAAGTAAACCCAGCTACTTGTACTATTTTAGTTGCAATTTTTATATTTATTTTATTTTAATAATTTATAATTTGTTGTCGGTTTGCGTCGAACCCATTTTTGGGTTACGCTGCTTTATCAATTTACGTAGTTCTTCAAAATGAACTTGACCTTTGGTTGCGTCTCTGTTTTCGCTTTTCTTTTTAATTTGCACGCGTGCCGAATTATCAATTAAAATATTTGCGCTTTGAAATTGTATTTATCATACAAAAATTCATGATCAATGGGTAATTGTACCTACGAAAGTCCTTTTTGAAAGGCTTTCGCTTGCCTTAAATAATAAACACCATTTTCTGAAACAAAAAATTATAAATAAACCTGTGAATGTTGAGAAGCAGCGCCGCATTAGGGCAAAAAGTAGTGTACATAACATAAACGTGTTATGTAACTATTTCATTTTTTTATTGCTTTTCTTTAAACTGAATGCCTAGGTCCTACCTAATCTAAATTAAAGCTGATCATTATTCATTAAAACAATGGTTATTTTATTGAGTTAAATATTTTTTAAAATCGATGATTAACAGACGTAAGAGGCGAAAAAAAAATCACTAAAGACTGAATTACAAAACCATAATTATATGGTACCAAAAAGTTTACGTTCGGATATCATTCCTTTAAAAAGTTTTAGAGGATGTTAAAAAACCACGTACAGTGGAGGTAGCTCTTTAACGTTTTCCTGAAACGACATTCTGTCTTTATTTGATAAAAGTGACCCCATTATTCAATAGGTTAATAACATTGATTTGCGAGTAGTAATAACATATAAAGGTACAATTGATTACATAACTCAGTTAAGGGATAAGTTTGATTATTATTATGAAACCAGTAAAAATTAATTTCAACAAGATCTAAATTTAAAAAATGGCTACTTCTGACACAAAATTTGATGATTTAAATAATTTCACAGTAAATACCTATTTTGTTGGTTAGAAAAGTACAGTTTTATTGATAATTAGTTCAACTTTTTAAGCCAACTCACTGAACTTACACAATTCACGTGAGTAATGCTTCACGAGAAAGATCATTTTCTATTATAAAGTCAGTCAAAACATACCTGAGAAAGTCTGTGGGTGACAATAACTTTTTTTTTTTGCAATGTTATTTGTTGAAAAAGATTTATTTTTAAAAATACTGCAGATTCTGTTATTGACGAGTCTTTAAATTCCAAATCAAGAAAATAACTTTTGATATGCTTACATATTTTGATATTGAATTAAACATTTAGATACCTACTTTTCAGTTCAATTTGATAAATAGATATACAATATATTTTTTAAAATAAAATATCCTGTAATATTTTTATAATACTCTTTCATTTGTTTTTGACAAAAAAATAGACAAAAGCTGGCGATTTTTGAGTGCTCCGAAGTGTGTAAATATAAGAAGGGTAATTATTATGGGCGACAGATTTGAAAATTAATTGGTGATAATTGTTTTGTTGCGTATTTGTCGGAGAAATTACGTAAAATAGATAACAAAATTGTTGTTTTTCATATCAGGAAATGTGACTTGCGGGAGAAACGAATTTAGATGTGGGAATGGAAAGTGCATACCTGGTCATTGGCAGTGTGATAATGATAAAGATTGCAGCGATAACAGCGATGAAGACCAGCGCACTTGTCGTAAGTTATCGATACATAAACTCAATAATGTTGTATAGAACAACACACGATAAATGGTTGTGACTGTAACAAGGCTATTAACTTTTTTATCTGCTCGTAGGCATTTTTGGGTCAATCAATCAAACCCGTCTAGGATAGTAGTAAGGAAGTTGAAACACAAAATATATGAATACATTCTGTTGTATTGCGTACTGTATAATTGTAATTATAATATTAATAATAGATACGGATTAAATGAAATTAGACGTCAGAATAGTTTGAATCTCTTTTTTTTTTATAATTATTTATGTTGACTATTATATTATGATTAACACATTCTCTCCAACTGCTCTTTGCTATTTATTCACAATGAGTTTTAATTACATAAATTACATAGGCTGATATTTTTGGGTTTATATTATTGCGTCGTTATCGTTTATCGTTTTTTAATTCGGCCCATATCATTTCTATAGGAATCAAATCGCAGTGATAAGCTAGTAATTACCGGATATTCTGTCATACGATTTGCTTGTTCAAACTTCAATTAGGTCTGTTTTTGTATATGTATCTTCAAAATAAAGGTAATGCTGACCAAGGAACTCTTGGAATATCTCTTTTTTGCTGCTAATCGTACTTTTCTAGATAAGGTCCTGTGTGTGCATTATCCTAAACAATTTTGTACCCAATTTTCAAAAAATTCCCTCTTCATATTCTGATGATCGTCTAATGAGCAGTCTTTAATATTTTTTGTTGAAACTAGCAAAGCGTTTGGCGCCCAACCTTGGCTCAAGCCACAGTGTACAGTATATATTATTTTTTCCTTATATCATTACATTCGATGAAGAATTTTGCTACTTTCTTTATAGTGTCATGGGTTTCGAACCCAGTCTATATATATTTCGTTTTTCTACGCGAAATTCATGATTTTGAGTTAAATATTTTTGCCTCCATTGAAGTATACTTATCAATATTTTTAAATCTAAATCCCACTTTTTGCACACTTTGCAGCACTTTCATCATGCCTTAGTCACATTGTTGCTTCCTTAATCCCACTGTTCTCTTAATAGTAGTTTCTATACTCCCTGACATTTTTAGAAGAACTAATTTTGCACTAAAAAAATATAAATTATTAGCTATTTTTTTGCGGTGTTAAAGTTTCAGGAATGTTATAGTAAACGGTAACTGATGTCTTTTCAGTAAAGTAAAAATCTCTCCCTATACTGATAAACACTTATAAATCGGCTTTTTAGTGGTTTGTCTCGGTTTATGATGGACCAGGCAAGTCATGATCATTTATCGTGTGCTGGGCTATATTAGTATGGGGATTGTTTTCTACTAATATTTTGCTTGTAGCTCAGTTAGTATATGTTCATTTGACGTTTTTAATTTGAAATCACCGCAGCAACACATTCCCAAGCTATGGCAGTCATGTCGTGGGACACCCTGGTGTAGAATTGTCGGGTCATTTTTTTTTCGTGTCAATTGACTAAAATAATTTTAAAAATACAATGAAATTCATGTTTATTTATATTTTCGCCGTCGCACCCTTCTGAGAACTAAATGGAGTGGGATTTTCCAAATCTCGTATTCCTTGTAGAGAGTTATACTTGCACCCGAAATATAGTGCTTTTGCAACCGACCCCGTGATTGCCTACTGTTTATTACTCCAAAATCGCAGCCCCTTATAGAACAATCTGCCTAGCAGACCCTTACCCGTAATCATTCCAGAACCGTCCTAGGAAATTATCTACCTCTATCTATGTTTTTAATCTTTTTCGCCGAGCAATCCTTGAAACATACACATAAAAAAAATTAGTACAAATCAACAATTTATTACATTGTATTTTCATTACATTTCTCCATAGTTGCATTATTAATATACAAAATATTATTTATAATGATAAAGTATTAAATTAAATAATAAAGTATTAAAAAATCATCACTATCGCTACTGCCGTCACCTAGTTCAATGATCAACTCCGCCACTAATCGTTCTCGGTAAATATTTACTTCTTTTATTACACGTTTTTCACAGTTAGGCCAGCTTTGTACTGATATTATGATACGGGGGTACTTTCAAGATTTCATGGCCGTTTTGTCGTGCTATTGAATGGATATTGTAGTCTTTATTAAAATGTTTTATTTTTAATAATTCCAAAAGTTTTTTTTCATGTATCTCTCTTCAAAATATAAATCATTTTCTTACAGAAATTGTTTAATTTCTTCTTTATTTGAACAAGTATTTGGAATTTTTATAATTTGGCTGAATGATGCGACGCATTATCCAACACAATATTAGTATTTGGCGATAGTTTTGGCAACAGTTTATTTTCAAACCAGTCCTCAAATATTTCCGCGGTCATGTTTTCATGGTAATCCACACTTGACGTTTTTGACAGACAAAAATAAGGCATCTTCCACCCAACCATTTTTCCATGTGAAGACAGCACGTCTATTATACACTTTTTACTGTTATCACACCATCCTTCCTTTTTTTACTGTGTCGTGAGTGTCGAACCACGTTTCCTCTAAATACACTATTAACCTATTTTGCTCTCGAAAATTTTCAATTGCATTTAAATAATCCATCGTCCATTACGAAATTCTTTGAGATTCCATTAGCACTCGACGTTTATTAATTGTTTGGAACTGAAAATACATTTTCCTAAAAAAAGTACGCAACGATTCTTTGGCACAACTAATGTTTAAGTCTGTCAGTACTTCTTTATGTAGTTGTTCTATGGTTAAAACGCTATTCACTTTTGGTGGATTATACGCCTAATTAGATCTGCGTGTTGCTCTTTGAAAACTCTCGAAGTACCAGCATCTTCTTCCACTTTCCTCTTGACTATCCCATTTGCAACAATTTTTCTTACCGTTGATTTCGGAACTTCGGTCATGTCACTTGTTTTTATTGCTACTCCTACTTCCATTTCTGAATTTCTTATGAAATTCTAAACATTCAAAACACTTAGCTATTATCTTGATTCGGGTTTAAAGGCCGTCGTCGATTGGAATTACTCCCTAACGTTTCGCTAGCACGAGTGGCGAGCTTCTCTCGATGTTGGACGTAGACTGTCTACGTCCAACATCGGAGATGGAAGGACGTAGGATGGGTTTTACCACGGCCCTGCTAAGCTCTGCGGTTAAGATACTGTAAAATACTTAAAACGTCAAAGCAATAAATGCACTATATTTTTGGTCGTATTATATAAGTAAATTGGAATCATAAACGCATGATAATTAATTAAATAACGGCATACAAAAGTACACAAAATAAAAGGGGGGTCCGATCGTTTACGCGCGCGTTGTATATTATACCGAATGTCGTAGGAATTTACAACAGTAGGCGTTTATTTTTTTGTCAACCAGCAGTTTTTATTGTTAACATTCTGTAGAGCAAAAAGTATGCGGTCCGGACGAATTCACATGTCGTTCGGCGCCTGGCGAATGCATCCCTCTGACTTGGATTTGCGACGATAATCCCGATTGTTCGGACGCGAGCGACGAAAAATCTTGCAGTAGGTATTCAAGAAAGTTAGTTCGACGAGCATACGTATAACGCCCCGCGCGTCTCGTTCTCCATTTTAGACGAAACCTGCAGGTCGGACGAGTTCACTTGCAAAAACGGCAAGTGCATCCAAAAACGGTGGGTCTGCGACGTGGACGATGATTGCGGCGATAAATCCGACGAATCCGATTGTCCGGCGGTGAATTGCGCCCCCGACACCGAATTCCAATGTAGCGAAAACTTTTGCATTCCATCGAAATGGCGATGCGACGGCGAATACGATTGCTTCGAAGGCAAAGACGAACAGGGTTGTCCAAAATCCGCGAACGTCGGCGCATCGTTCTGTTTGCCTCAAGAACACGAGTGCGCGGATCGACTCACTTGCATTCATCGGGGATGGTTGTGCGACGGTACCAAAGACTGTCCGGACGGTTCCGACGAAGTACCCGCCCATTGTCAGAACATCACTTGTAGGGCGGACCAGTTTCAGTGTCGCGATCGCTCGTGCATAGCCGGACCTCTGCATTGCGACGGAAGAGCGGACTGCGCGGACGGCAGCGATGAAACGGACTGCGGAGAAATGTCATCGAACGGCGCAGACGCGCAATGCGATCCAAAAACGCACTTCGCCTGCGGCGGGGGTCAATGCGTGCCGTTGGCTCGCGTTTGCGACGGTCGACCCGATTGCCCCGCATGGGAGGACGAACCCCGTGATAAATGCGGCGTCAACGAATGCGCGCGCAACAACGGCGGCTGCGCGTTCCGTTGCGTCGACACGCCCGCGGGTTATTACTGCGAGTGCGAGCGAGGGTATCGTTTAGATTCGCACGACAATCGCACTTGTCGCGACGTCGACGAATGCCAAAACGAAGGTAGTTGCTCGCAGATCTGTCTCAACGACAAAGGCGGGTTCAAGTGCGAATGCACGACGGGGTACATGCGCGATCCTCGCGATCACACCCGATGTAAGGCCGTCGAGGGACACGCGTCGTTGTTGTTTGCCCGACGTCGCGACATACGCAAAATCTCCCTCGACCATCACGAGATGACCAGCATCGTGAACGAGACCAATTCCGCCACCGCGTTGGATTTCGTTTTCCGCACGGGGATGATATTTTGGAGCGACGTGACCGACAAGAGGATTTACAAAGCCCCGATCGATGAAGGCAACGACAAAACGATCGTCGTCGCGGACGAAATCACCACGTCCGACGGATTGGCGGTCGACTGGATTTACAACCACATTTATTGGACCGATACCGGTTCAAATACCATTTCGCTGGCGAACTTTGACGGTAAAATGAGGAAGGTGCTCGTCAGGGACGATCTGGAGGAGCCGCGAGCGGTGGCGGTGAACCCGTTGGAAGGGTGGATGTTTTGGACTGACTGGGGGCAGGAGCCGAAAATCGAACGCGCAGGAATGGACGGATCCCACCGTCAGAGCATCGTCACTTACGACGTCAAATGGCCCAACGGGCTGACGTTGGACTTGGTCAGACGCCGTTTGTTCTGGGTGGACGCCAAATTGAATACGATTTCGTCGTGCGATTACGACGGCCTCAATCGACGTCTCGTGTTGTTCTCCGCCAGCGCGTTACGTCATCCGTTCTCCATAACCACTTTCGAGGATTGGCTCTATTGGACGGATTGGGACAAAGCGGCCGTTTTCAAAGCCAATAAGTTTACGGGTCGCGATCTTAGCGCAGTCACCGCGACCGAAATGATCCAAAACCCGATGGTGATACACGTTTACCACCCGTACAGGCAACCGGACGGTGAAAATCATTGCCAAGCGGTGAACGGCCATTGTTCCCATCTTTGTTTACCGGCTCCGCAGATCAACGTCCACTCGCCAAAGATATCCTGCTCCTGTCCGGAAGGACTGAGGATGATGTCCGACGGATTAACGTGCGTGCAAGACGGTAAGGACGGCATTATTCGTCCGCCCCTCGTTTTTATTTATTTTCATTATGTTTTTGTTTTGGCTACAGAAACTTTAGCTCCGACAACGGTACACTCTGTCTCTATTACAGAATTCGCTACGTCGCGAACCAACTATATGCCGGAGAGTGAGTACCTGCCGTATTGCCCTCTTTGTCCTCCTATGACTGGTGGCGGTTTACTTCTTCTCGCCTTTCCACATTAACGTTACCCTATTTATTTTTTGGCAGACTTCGCCTCTCTTCCTCCACTTTTTGCGTGCTTTTTTTTCTCTCCGCCCATCGCTAGAGTCGTTATTATTTTAAATTTCGTTTTCCTCGTAGGCACCACCAACAAGTCGCGAAGCGGCACGGGTTCGACCGTTTCGGAATCCACCGACGATGGTGCCATTGCAGGACTGGCGATTTTTATCATCATTTCGATCGTCCTCGTCTGCTCAGCGGTAAATTTTAGTTCCGCGAACAAAATATAAGACGTACACGACCGGTGTTTTTCTCGCAGGTCATTTATTTGGTGTACAAACACATGATGCATCGCAACATGACGTCAATGAATTTCGATAATCCCGTCTATCGTAAGACGACCGAGGATCAGTTCTCTTTAGAAAAAAACTCGTTTCCGTCAAGCAAACCCTATTTAAGCACGGTGGGCGAGGAGGTAAGAGCTTTGACATTAGATTTTAATAGTGTACCTAGATAATCAGTCCAAACTACGCGTGTCTGTATATATTATATCCCTTAATTGTCGAACCTAATATTATTATCGAAAAAAAAAGTATTATTATTATAGTGGAAATTACTAAAATGTTGTGTCCGATTGCTGTTTTTGTGGGCTTCCCACCGTCAACGATGGGACTTAATATACGTCGATGTTTTATAAAAATATTTTTATAGAGTGTTTAATGATAAAATTGTGCCAAATCGCACCTCAATCCTACGGAGAAATTAAAACATTGCCACAAAATGTCTACATTACATTCAGGTTCGATTTTGAACATAACACCATAGTTTTTCTAAAATATTTCAACCGTGAATAACGATAAAGGTTTTTCGGTACGAGCCGTCAATGCGTAAATAATAAAATCGAATTTTCTTACACGCATTCCGTTCGCATTAAATTTGGTAAGTTTTTGAGCGTGGATGTAGTAGTAGGTGGTTAAATTAGAACAAAAAAATGTTCAAATTTTCAAATAGTAATAGATCCTTAATTACCGTTATCCTAGGCTTGTAAATTTAAATTTAACAAATGGATTCAAATCCATTAAGTAATAGATTCAAATTTTGCTAACCTCCATATCATCAACAAAATTAGTTTTTTGCTTTTTGGGCATTATGTAAAATATCAAATTTATTTTTATTTTATTTTATTTAATGCATCAAAAAGCAAAAAGCAAAATTTGTGGAAGAATCTATTATTACCTGCAAAATATTTTGTATTTGATAAAACCAGAATGTTAAGGAAACAACTGTCATAAACCAAACTGAAAATCTCAACATTTTTTGTTGTAATTTAATTGTGTTAAATGGATTTTAATCTATTAAAAGACACCTCACTTTGATGTAATTTATTATTTTCATGGTGGCTCTCAAAGTTTTACAACTTTTGTTCTTGTTGCATAACTGTACGTTTCGATTTTAGGCGCAAGAACCACTTACGGCAGGCATAGAACCCGTGTAATGCTGCAATCTCCCGGAGACTGTCTAGTTGTATTTTGCTCAATCAAGGACTGCGAAAATCCAAAGTTCCAATTAAAAGACATTTTGAGGATAAGCAAGCGTCGACGATCTTGTAATCAGGGCGTCGGTGAATTACTTAAGGCAATCTGTTAGCCAATGCGTGTACAAAATTGTTTTTTGCTTAAAGATGCACCTATATTTTTTTATTGAGTCAGGAAATTTTTAGCAAATCTATGAAATTGCGTTTGCTTAACCCTTTGGCCTAATTAAAAGTTGGAACCTCAGGGGTCGCCGTGGGATTAACCTTTATCTAGTTAGTCTCAGTTATGAAAATCATTTCATATGGGTGTGAGCTTTTGAATTTGATTAACATCCGCGTGAAATTAGAAAATTTTAATGAATTAATTTGGTTAGTTACTCAGTTGTACGCTTGATGTGTTGATTAGTTTGTACAAAGCCACTCTAGTTGTAATTCCCACAAACGGGCTCTGGTGGCGTGTACTAAAACAATATTCTGTGATTAATTAATTTATGTACTGTTTAAAAAAATTCAAAGTTTTTATTGTATAGAATAATTATTTAAATTATTTGTATTTATCTGTTTATAAAATTAATTTTGCAATAATTACAAAAAAGTAATGTGGTTGGTATTATTTTTTCCCAATCATACTCACATAGCTGAGAAACTATTCAGTTATTTATTAACTGCGGCGGATACGTTATTGCTGCTGTCCTATTTGGTGAACGACTTCATTTGCCGTTTTAAATAAATTTTGTAAAGTCTTGTTGAACCATCAACCGCAACACTGTCGCAGGCCAGGACATTTGTGTTACAACCTTAATAGGCCGAGTTACCACACCTACGTTAAATTGCAAACGTAGACATACTTTTTTTTAATGTTATGAAACATTTCATAGAAATCAAATCCGCAATCAAGACAAACATAATCGAGAAATTTGCTTCGATTGGTTGGTGACTTTTTTGCAATGGTGAATGTGTGAATTTTTTTTACATTTCTGGCGGATCCGCCAGAATTTTGATTTGTAGTAAATTTTATATTAGGTAACAGCAAAACAGTATAAGTATAGTTTGTAAATTTTGCAATGATGAAAATTACACAATAGTTATTCTTGGCTAAAAATAAATGATATGTATTGAAAATCTGAGGGTTAATTTTGTCTTTACCCTTTGGCAACCTTCATTGCATATTCGGAAACATATATGCGTTTTTCATTTAAGAGCAAAAATATAACAGCAATATAATGTAAATCATCGCTTAAATTACACACTAGCTTTGATACAAACCCTCATTTATTTTTGTAGGTTTGTTTGGGCCTTAACGCGATATCACCCCTTGTTTTGAGATATTTACAACATTGCATACTTTGCTTCATGTCATTTTCTTCGTTTCAAACCTTTCGCCTTCTAAAATATCGCGTGGACAATTAATTTCATTGCACAAATTACACAATATTAGATTTAATAAATATTTAAATAAAAAAAAATAAACCGTAGTTACAAACTACTGTTTTACTGAAAGCATAGAATACTCCACATGGCAGCGCCATCTGCGAGACGTAAGAACATAACATTAGCATCTAGTTTTACGTTCTAGTCCAGAGGGTGCTGATAAAAACTTCATTTATTTTGTTAAATAGGAGAGTTAAAAATGTTTTACTTTTGGAAAATAACTTTTGCCTTACTGGAGTACGCCCCTTTTTAAAAATTTGTATGTATGTATGAATGCAGATGCAATTGTAGAGAAGCAAAAAGAGTTTACGCACGGCGTTATCCGCATAGAAGAGTCCCCGATGCAAAAACCTTTTCGAGTTTATGTAAAAACTTAAGAGAATATGGCAGCTTCATAAAACCTAAAAGAGATAGGAACAGGACGGCTACAAATGATGAAAATATTGCTGCTGTAATTCAGCAGGTTGATAATAACCCCAAGATATCCCTATCAGAGATAAAAGAAAATACCGGTGTTACCATAAGTTCTTCGTGGAGAATTCTACATAGAAACTCTTTTCACCCGTACAAAAGTAAACTAGTTCATAAACTAGAACCAGGCGATTATGCTAGAAGAATGTATTTCTTAGCGACATTGTCCGATTTCTATAGCCAAGATGCAAATTTTCTCTCGAAAATTTTATGGAGCGACGAAAGTCAATTTCAAAATAATGGAATCGTTAATAGACACAACTGTCGTTTTTGGTTCGAAAACCATCCTCGTTGGATTACAGAAAGAGGTAACCAACGAATTTTTAGTAACAATGTTTGGTGCAGCATATTAAATGGATTCCTTATTGGACCTTACTTTTACGAAGGAACTTTAAATGCAGATCGCTATTTAAGATTTCTTCAAACTACACTTCCGGAACTATTAGAAGAAGTGCCTCTTGACACTAGAATGAATATGTGGCTACAGCACGATGGAGCGCCTGCACATAATGCCCAAAAAGTAACGAGGGATTTGAACCGAGAATATCCCAATAGATGGTTTGGTATTAATGGACCGGTAAGGTGGCCGGCGAGGTCCCCGGACATTACACCACCAGATTATTTTCTTTGGGGCTACCTAAAAAACGTTATCTATGAAGAACCTATCGAAGATATGGCTGATCTCATTAACAAAATTAGTGCAGCGTGTGCCGCTATCACAAGAAGGACTCTCCTACAAGTGACCCAAGCTCATCTGTTAAAAGTTTTTGATAGTTGTGTTCGAGCAGATGGACATAATTTTGAACAAAATTTTTGAAATGTCTTATTATGTAGTTAATTGCAATAATAATTTTGGTTATTAACTTGTAGGTATTTTACTGTTTTTTCATTTATTTATCATGTTATCAGAACTAAATCGATAAAAAATAATAAATAAAATCATATTAAAATAGTTGAAATCTATTGTTTGTAATTGCACTTAAAACAACTGCGATAACAATGGTTGCCATAGTAACTAACATTCATGGCATACTTGTAAAAATAAGCGTTAATCACATTTTTTATTAATCAAGAAATGTTTACTTTAAATCGGTATAACTTAGAAACGGGTCAAGTAAATAAGTTTGAGTAAATAACAAAAAAGTTTTTAAATAATATGTACTTTTGTATGCGCGTATTTCCAAAGTCTGCAATCGAATAATTTTTCGACGCCTCGCGACGCCCAGCTCTTTGCAGGCGTCGAATTTTTTAAACTATACGAAATATCTACTTGACCCCACACTTTGACTACTTTTTACATAAATTAAATATTTCTTTTCGTTTTGGAGTTATTGGCGTGCGGAGTTTTAAGTGAAAAACCCTGTATACGCGTTTTTAATTTATTTTTAACTAATAAAAAATATTGTGTAATTTTCTTAATTATAAAATCTACAAACTATACTATTTTAGTGTAAACTAGTTGAAAATTACTATAAATCACGATTCTGGTGCATCCACCAACACTGCAAATTAAACCCCCGCATCCACCATCTTAAAACAAGGATAAAATACAAGTTCGAACCTTGATAGTTATTTATTTATTCTGTGGTAAGGTAAGACACAGAACAAGACGTGTCAAAGGGAAAAATGATTTTAGTTTCAACAATTTGTATAGGATTTGGGAAAGTGCTAAAATAAATTTTGTAAAAAAAAATAGACATCATAAACTATGTCAACAAATATCACATATCGTGGATTTAATTTGGATGTTGAATATGCCGTCGATCCGGCTTCAGGGGGATTTTTCCATTCTGATTTTAAAAAGTATGAGTTATTTATGTTATATCATATTTTTTAAATTATATTATTCATTTTTTCAGACACGACGATCTTAAGGAAATGTTGGACTCTAATAAAGATCACCTCAAACTGGAAGCAATGAAAAGAATAATTGGTGTATGTTACAGTTTATTACCAAAGGTAGAATTTATTTTGTAGACAAACTCATATTTCAGATGGTGGCAAAGGGACGTGATGCATCTGTACTGTTTCCAGCAGTGGTTAAAAATGTTGTGTCAAAAAATATTGAAGTAAAAAAACTGGTTTATGTTTATCTAGAGAGATATGCAGAAGAACAACAAGATTTAGCTTTGCTGTCAATATCAACTTTTCAACGAGCTTTAAAGGTGAATTTAATCCTTGAATTTTCTAATGAATTAGTTATTTCATTCCAGGAACCAAATCAATTAATAAGGGCTGGTGCTTTAAGAGTGTTATCTAGTATTAGAGTAAAAATGATATCTCCTATTGTAATGTTAGCCATTAGAGATGCTTCTTTGGACATGTCTCCATATGTCCGAAAAACCGCAGCTCATGCAATACCAAAATTATACAGGTTGGTATAAATTTGCAGCAATTATCAATGGATTTTAATTTTTCGGTATTTTAGTCTAGATCCAGAGTTAAAGTCTGAATTAGTGACAATTATTCAAAAACTGCTAGCAGACAAAACAGTTCTTGTAATTGGATCTGCAGTAATGGCATTTGTAGAAGTATGTCCAGAACGTGTTGATCTGATACATGAAGTCTATAGAAAACTTTGTGCCTTGCTAGTAGATGTAGATGAATGGGGTCAAGTAACAATTTTAAATATGTTGACAAGATATGCCTGTTCCCAATTTGCTGATCCGAATGTTCATGTATGTCTAAATATTTTGACTTGCTGTTTATTTACTGTAATCATATATTTAGGATGTGGAAGATAAACCAGACCGTCCTTTTTATGACTCTAATTCTGATGTATCAGAAAAACCATCTCAGACTTTAGATCCTGATCACCGTTTATTGCTAAGATCAACTAGGCCACTTTTACAATCCAGAAATGCTGCAGTTGTTATGGCAGTAGCTCAATTGTATCATCATGCTGCCCCACAAAATGAATTCCCTTTGGCTGCCAAAGCATTGATAAGACTATTGAGGTCTCATGTTGAAGTCCAGAGCATGGTACTCAATGCCATTGCCTGTATAACTTCTAAAAATAAGGGAGTGTTTGAAACTTATTTAAAAAGTTTTTTTGTTAGAACTTCTGATCCTACAAATATTAAGTTATTAAAACTAGAAATTTTAACAAATTTAACCACAGATGCAAACGTTTTGATAATACTTAGAGAATTACAAACATATATAGCTAATAATGATAAACATTTTGTTGCTGCCACAATACAAGCTATTGGAAGATGTGCCTGTTCCATTTCTGAAGTCACTGATACGTGCCTTAACGGTTTGGTTTCTTTATTATCCAATCGGGATGGTAAGTGTCCTTTTTCAAATGGCATTATGAATGAATGTGAAATAATTACATCAGAGATAATCGTAGTTCGAGGATGCGTGTTATTCTAAAGCCCTATTAAAATTATGGTCTTTATTTAATATTTATATATTTCTTATTATTTATTGTATTATCAAACTTAATTATTATTTAACAGTTTGTTGTGCTTTCACGAGATCAGAAGAGGTTTTTACTGAAAACAAATAACAATAAAGTTACTTTTTACTGGATTTATTCAACGCAAATAATACCTTCTTGAGAGGTCCAGGGACGAATTTACTGCACTACAAGTTGTCCTATCTCTTACTTTTAATGTTAAATATATTTCTTCTTGTTGAGAACTGTCAGAAAGTTAGAAAAGTTGGTGATTAATGGTGGGGTTGCAACGTGTTTTTAATAGGACAAATTTTCCAACATTTATTGCAGAAGCAGTAGTTGCCGAGAGTGTCATAGTCATAAAAAGATTACTACAAACTCAAGCCGCAGATCCAAAGGAGATTATTACTCATATGGCAAGATTACTTGATAGTATCACTGTGGCTCAAGCTCGCGCCGCGATCTTGTGGCTGCTAGGGGAACATTCCCAGAAAGTTCCAAAAATTGCACCAGATGTGCTCAGGAAACTCGCTAAGACATTTCCTGATGAGGTTAGTCGCCTGAGTGCGCTAATTAAATTATGTCCAAAAACTAGAAAACCACATAGGCAAAAGCTTTAGTTTGACACCAAGTCAGTTATGATTTGTAGGGATTCGTTTTGGCAATAGAATGTGTTTTACAGGGTGGAGAGGATAAACCTGGTTCTGGCCAAAGTATTTCTTTATTCTGATATAATACTAATAATGCAATTATTACTATATTCCAACCAGTTCTCCATGTTGTAGAGTTCACGAAATTACCAATAACTGTGCATCAGGTCATAGGGATTTTTCGCTTGTTGACTATTAGGAAAAATCTGCTCTATTGCCCTATTGCCCTGTACTATTATTACTAACATGCCTAGTGTTTTTAGAGCAAAGTTAAGAACGTTTTTAACACTCACTTGAGCAGTTTAACACTAGTATATTATCATATATATTTTTAGCATGACATTGTAAAACTGCAGGTGATGAATTTGGCTGTTAAGTTATACATAACTAATCCCGAACAGACGTCGTTATTATGCCAGTATATTTTTAACTTGGCAAAATATGATCAAAACTACGATATTAGAGATAAAGCTCGATTACTCAGATATTTTATATCCGACGAAAATGGCAAGCTTGCAGCTTGTGCCTCAAAAATATTTTTATCTAGTAAGCCAGCTCCTATACAACAATCCCATTTTAAAGGTTTGTAATGACAATATTTTGGTTTATTTTACATCTGAGCGAAATTGTAATTATCATAGATCAAGAAGATTTACAGTTAGGCTCCCTGTCTCATTATATCAAGCAACGGGCCGCCGGTTATGAGCCTTTACCCCTCTTCCCAGAACATCCTCCTTCTGGGGAATTCAGAAATGTGGAGCCTATAATAACCGAAAACAACACAAAACTTTATAGACACTCTGTAAGTTGGTGGCTTTTCGAAGTAAGTCTTTCTGGTTTTATAATAATGATTTTAGGAGAAAAAAAGGAAAGACCAATTCTCTTGGGAATCCGTTTCCGAAGTAAGCTCTGCCGAGGAAAGTGCAGATCATTCCGAATCTTCTTCAGAAACTGAATCTTCTGATAGTGAAGAAGACGCTGTTGAAGAAACTAGTGTTGCCGAATCTTTAGATGAAGAATCTGATGATAAGCAAGTATTACCTGTTCAACATTATAATGATTTTGCGACCTGTGATTATTGCAGAAAAACCAGCTCATCATCTAGCGAATCTGACAGTGCTAGTGAAGAATCGGCATCAGAAGAAAATGTAACGACAAATCATTTGGGCAGCGAGAGCGTAAATAGTATCGCAAACACTAATAGCGTCAATAAAACTAAAGGAAAAAAATCTAATTTGGATTTGTTGTTGGATTTTTGTGATGGCGACAGTTCCGCTCCAGTTTTAACGCCGTCGCTTGGTAGTGTACCTCTGTTTACATGTATAACAAAAAAATATGGGTTTAACATTTCAGGTGGTTTTTTCACTCCTACCACTCCTTTAGATCAACCACAACTAATGCAAATTGTGCAACCGCCATTCACAAATACGAAACCAAATGAACTACTCAACAAACTACATGGAAAAGGCTTGTCGGCAACCTATCGTTTTACTCGCAGCCCTCATTTATATTCGCCTAGTATGACAAACATCAACATTACATTCACAAATAATACTGATGAGGATATTCTGGATATAAGATTGGGCAAAAAGGTAACTTGCTTATTGTGTGAGTAAAATAATTAAGAAATATCTTAAAAGTGCGTGCTTTAATTTAAGTAATGTTTTATATCTATACAGAATCTAGCGCTGGGAATGAGTCTACATGATTTTTCGTGCATACCAAAGTTGCCACCGAATAGTTCGCTTCCCGCGACGTTAGGTATTGATTTTAATGACTCCACTCAACCAGCAAATTTTGAAATCGTGTCTTCGCTAGGTGAGAAATGTTATTTAAAAAGAAACGCTTTTCAATAGCAGTATCCTCAAACGCAGCTAGTCTAATAATTGAAAGAAACCTCCACAGGCTGCTGTAATACTATTTACAAATCTTCTGGATTCCTCCTGCCTCGATTATGTTGTATGTTGTCCCTAATTTTCTTTAAATATACCATCATCACAAAACCCTCATCATCATTCCCGTAAAGAAATAGGCCAAATCAATAAGACTCTTCTATCTCTACATCTTGAAATTGCTTCCATTTTGTCCCCATCCAAGTTCCATATGTTTATCCTGTACCCAGAATGATACTCAAAAATTTGTGAAACCCTCAAACTCGTTTCATACTCAACTACCACAGTGGTAAATGTATCATCATACCAACAACAATATTCTGGTTAGTTTCGACGTAGAATAGAATCCCTCTTTACTAAAGTTTCCATTCCTGAAACTCTCAATACTATTTCAGATATATTAATAACGAAAAATACGAGAATCTTCAACGAGATTTTACACAATTAAATTAGAACAAAGTATGTTCAGATTTCACACTTATTTAGTACTTTATAACAACTGTTTCGACAACACCGTGCCTTTATCAAATACAAAATATGACAATATTCCTCCAAAATTATATTCTTTAATCAAATTACACAATGAGGAGATGCCAACTTTAACAAACAAACAAACAACAAACACAACAACAACAAAACTTTAAGTTAAACTTTCAACAACAAAAATCTTAGAATATCATATTGCCTTTAGACCTAGATATGTTGTCAAAAATTCGTTCAATCTAATCAACAAGGGTAATTCTAGTCTCCTTCGACGTCCAAAATCTATTTTCTAGCATTCCACCGATTGACATAATAAACAAAATAGAGAATATTCTGACTCGGAGACAAGTCAACCCTATCATAAAACAAGACTTGTTAGATAGTTGAATAGTTGGTTTAACCAAAATTATTTTGAATTTAATGGTCAATTTTATATTGCTAAAGAAGGAATAATTATGGGAAATCCACTTAGTCCACTGCTTGCAGAAATTTTCATGGACAATGTGGAAAATATCATACATAAACATCCTCTGAATAAAAGATTAGCATGTATAAGCGTATAAAATTTACCATAGAGACGGAACTAGATAACTCTTTGACCTTTCTGGACTTGACTGTAATTAAATTACAGAACAAAATTATATTTTTCCATTTACCATAAACACTTAGACAGGGACACAGTAATTGATAGTAACTCAAATCATCTTCATACACAAAATTGTTCCCTTTTATTCTTTGAACCACAGATTATTTAATGTACCACTTTCTACGGAAAATTTTGAAAAAGAATTAAATATTATAAAACAAATAGCATTTAACAATGAATGCGAACCCTCTTTGATAGATAAGATTATAACCAAAAAACAGTTTCAAATTTATAAAACAATAAAATACATAAGAGAACTAAGAACTTTCGAATTTCGAAACATCTATCTAAATTTGGCCTTTAGATTGCCTTTAAAACGCAAAACGAAAAACTCAAAGGTCCAGAGTCTACAAGTTGAAATGTGGATCATGTCCCAAAATTTATATCGGACAAACAGGTAGAATATTTAAGAAACTCATTAACGCACATAAAACTAACTATGCCATTCATTTGAATTCAGAAATACACAAGTTTGACCATAATTTTGATATTTTACATAATGAAACAAAAAAAGCAAACACTAAATTTCTTGGAAGCTATGGAAATTAATAAAATTTAATTTATTAAAAATTCGAATCTATTACTTAATTACCTGATTTGCGTCTCCGCTGTTAAATTTGAATCCTACACCGGTTATTAAGGATCTATTACTAACTGATTATATATATACATGTGTCATAAATCATTAAATAGCTGTGAAAATCTGAACAAATTTGTTCTAACTTAATTGTGTTAAATGGATTTTCATCAAGTAAAAGCCATCTCAGTTCAATTCAATTTTCATTGAAAAATGCTTGTCTAAAACATATTTTTCTTGTTACGGTCAAATCACCATTTATGGCGAATATATCTATGCAAGCTTTTGAGAACAAAGCCCTCGCACTATTCATTTAAAACCAAAGTTATGGAAACGCTACATTGATGTAAATTTGCTTATTTAGCCTCATAGTCAAGAATCCGGCCGAGATTTTCTTAGCAATTGAATTAGAAAGTAATAATAATCTCCCATTCTTAGATATTCTTATCAATAGAAAACGAGACCTAACATTCTGTTTACAGAAAATCTACGCACACAGACTGATACCTTAACGCATTGTCACATCACCATCCGACCCGAAAATCATCGGTTATCAACTCTCTTATTTACAGACCCAAACTATCTCAACCCTAGTCACCGAACCCAGAATTTACTTGACATATGCTCTTCTCTCTAATCATTTCCACAGTAAAGATATTAAGTGTTAAAAACAAAGAGTCCGAAAGTAACCCCATACTTGCCACTGTTGTCTGTCCTTCCTTACATCCAAAACATATCAAAAGTTCTTAAAAAATATAACGTCAAAGCGAGATTGTCTACTTTTCTTCCAAAAATCTCTCAACAATGTTCATGCCCCTCCTTTAGCTCCGCCCCCCTCAAAGAATATATAAGCAGGTAGAGAGTAGAATGCTAACCAGTTTCAGTTAAGCTCTGAAAAAATCAGCAGAAGATTTGTAAATAGTAGTCTGTAATAAGTCTGTTTGGGGAACAATAATATATTTTAGGTAATTTCAACGTATGCATAAAACCAACTGTGGGTGAATTGCTCAGACCTATCAAAATGTCAACCGGTTTATTCTTAGAGAAACAGTCGAAACTTTGCGGAATGAACGAACATAGTGCAAATTTGCCGGAATGTCAGAATATCGCCGAACGCATTTACCAATTGACAAATTTAGGTCCTTGTGATAATTCTGAAACAAATTATTTTAGGTTTGTTTAAATGGAGGGTTAGAAATGTTTGGCTAGTTGGACAAAACTTTTTCTTCCAGGTTTTCAGGACAAACGTTGACCTCGTCGAGTTTGGCACTAGTTACCGTTCACACTGGCGAAAAACGTATTTTGAGGATTAATTGTGAGAATGTTGTTTTTGGATCTGTTATGCTCAGCGAATTATTAAACAATTTATAAGTTTGTAGAAACTAATTTTTCTTCCATTTTGGATGTATATGTTGTTTTATACTATTTTTGTAATAATATTTGTGACATTCCCAGAACAATTTAAAATTTGTAAATTCTTCATATTGTTGTAGGAAATTACTGTATACAACTATATATATTTCTAACAAATTTATTGATAAATACAGCTCTGCTTACTCATATTTTTGTTGTTTTAATTTTCCAAGTGTGTTAAGAAAAAAAGGAAAAAGAAAAAAATATTTTACATTTATGACACAGGGTGTTTCAAAACGAATGGCCCCTAGAATACCAGCATATTTTTTCTCAAATAAATTTAAAGTTGATACTTACGGTGACAAATATAATTTTATTTTTTCGTTTTTTGTAGGCACAAAAATTTTTGGGAATGAGGAATTAAATGGAGTTTTGTGGCGACTTGTAGATGTAGACTTTTGCAAAAAGCCGTAATGTTTTTTTTGTTTCTCAAATCTAACCTGATAAGAGAACGTCGTCTGGTATTTTCTAAGTAAAAAATTTATTATTGTTCAATACTTGCATTTTAAACCGCAGACCAGGTAATGGCCGACTATTAATTTAGTATTAAAAATATTACTTTTAAGTGGTAATTGCAAGCGGATATCGAAAAAGAACCAAAAACAACCTACTGTGTTTTCTATTACTATTCCAAATGAAAAACCAAAATAAGTAAAATTTTGTTAGACATAATTGTAATTAAATAAAATTCTATTTAATTAATTGACTTAATAATTATTACAAAAAACGAAAACTTAAAGTAGATGTTCTACGTGACTACCAAGCACTTCGATATTTTTTGTAATCTGCTTAATGAAGGATTGTCTTCTTGTAAACAATTGTTTTTTGATTGGGAACCATTAACAGCATCCTGAATTTTACGCCAAAGTTCTTCACAATTGTTTATTGGGCCTTTGTAAACCACTGATTTAATATAGCGCAAAAAACAAAAATCCTGTGGGCCATTCAAGAAACCGACTTTCCATTTATGGGGAAAGTTTAAATTAGCCTATGATGAGGTGGTACTCCTTAAACCAAGATCTATGTAATTATTTATAGCTACTATTGTTATGTATTTAACATACTTTCAAATAATTACACTAAACACTTCCAAATAAACCTTTATTTCTTTAGACTGGAACATCATGCAACATACATAAAACGTGGAAATGGCGCGAATCGGTATGGTGCTAACCTTAGAAGAATAGAATAGAATAGAATACCATCCTAAACAATGTTTAGGATAGTACACTACATTTTCTCCTCGCACTAAAAATAAAACTTACCCTAGTTTTACAAGTCTATTTTCTGAGGAGGTTTAATAATCCTACCTGATCCAGTATTAGTACTGAACTTGAGAGTTCTTGCTTGAAGTCTTCTTGGAGAATGACCGAAAAAATTATTTTGTTTATTAGTTCTTGATAAAGTCTGTTCATAGATATAAGAAAGTGACTAATTGATACGAATTAAGGAAAGACCCGGGCAAGCTGTAAGAATGAAATATGGCCGACAGGTCCATACTTTGCTTAGAATTTAATTATTTGGGGTTTTGTTGGAAAATATACTAAACAATATTTATTTATATATGTATTTATGTTTAAATCGAAAATAATATTACAAATTATTTTTATTACCTACTTAAATTACTTAAAATTATTCACATAATATATCAATATCACTATCGCTATCATCGAATGTTCTAATTATTATTTGTTCTATATTATTTGCAATATGGATATAAGATTGTTCTGCCTTTTCTATATGTTTAACAGAATTTGCCCAACTTTGTGGAGGGATGTTAAAAACTTTGGTTTCTATAAGTTTGAGGACATCGGAGATAACACGGGAGAAAACATTGTTAGGAAGAACGGCAGATTTCAGTTGGTGCCAAACATGTTCAATACACATACAGTGGTAAGATGGAAGCCTTAAAACTGTATGCCCTAGATTTTTTGCATAATTTTCACAGACGTATTCCTTTTGTAGGTTCAAGCTTTTTAGAACCTCAATTAATTGCTTTTTGGTATAATCTTCGTGAAAATAAATGTCGTTATTATACATGTAGTTTTGGATTGTTGCTTTTCTATCACATGAGGACGGGGTTTTAGTCAACTGTCTACTGTGATAACTTGCATAGTCAATTACAATTAGGCTATTAGGGGGAATGTTTGGAACTAGTTTGTTATTAAACCAACTTTCAAATAAATCAGCGGTGGTGTCTTCATGGTAAGCCAGAAAAGAATCTTTAATATTTTTCGCAGACAGAGAAAGCCCATTTGTAATCCAAACATCTTTAGAGCCAGTGCGCAAAATAGTTATTCTTTTACCTCTTTTTGATGGCGCGTTTGTTTTACACTTATCAGTTGAGTCAACCCAACCCTTTTCCGGTTTATCATAAGTGTCGAACCAGATTTCATCCAAGTAAAAAAGCCAATGCCTTTGTTGTTCTCTGTAAAACCTAATTTTTTCTAGATATTCCAGTGGCCATGCCCGAATCCTAAAGAATTTCATTAAAACTTGCCTTTGGTCAATTTTTTTAAATCTAAAACCCATGTGTTGAATACACTTCCATAAGGTAGTTGTGCCACATTTAACACCGGTTTCATCTTTTTCAAGCCTCCTAATTAAGATATCTAATGTAGTCACGCTTTGTCAGCATCGCTTCTTTTTATCCCCGCTGAAATGGGATTATTCCATACAGCTGATGTTGGAATTTTCGTCAATGTGGCCGTTTCTTCTAAAGATGCTTGCTTGCTGGCACCACGTCCAATGAGAGTCAAATAAACATTGTTTACAACTTCGTTAGTCTCAATAGAATAGTGTTTTCTACATACACTATATAGACACACTAGACTCGCACATATTTTGCATAATTCGCACACGATTCAATACACACTGTATTACACACGAAATAAGAATGATTACTAATAAACTTAAACTAAGTAGTATACCAAACCAAAGAATATTAAACACAGGTAGGTATAAAATTTTTTTCTTTTACGGACCACAATTTTACTTGAATCTAAAATTCCGAAACTTAATGAATTTTATGAAAATGACCACCCTTGGATAATTCCATTCAAAAGCAATTGGTCACTTTCTTATATCTATGAACAGACTATACCTCTTTATTGATTGTTCGACTTCTAGTACCGTGGACACAATCGGGGTTTTCATTTGCGTAGAATGTGGCATCTTATTACTAACATTAACGTTGGGCAAAGGTGATTGTGACGAATATTGCTTTGAAAAGGCTTCCTGCACATTAAAATTGTTAGACATAACTCCAGGACAATTTCGAAAATCGTTAGCAGGAACATGTTTGATATTATTATTGATTTTATTATTATTATTAAATAAGTTGAATGACTTAATTTTTACAACTTTGCCTTTCTGCCAAACTTTCAATAGCTTATCTTTAACATACATAACCTGATTCATAGAATTCAATTTAGTTTTTCGAAAAATGTTGCTATTGTCTACATTTGGACGTTTTTTTATTCTGAAAAGGATTCAATAAATCAAATCGAGTTCTTGGTCTTAACTTGAAAATACTTACGGTGTGTTTCTAAATGTAAATAGAAAATTCAATAGCCTGGTTTTTAATACGTACTGACTTATTTCCGCTTTTGCTACGAAAAATAAGGCCTTTTCTAAGTTCTTTTTAATAGTTTGAACACTTGAACAACAGAAAGCTCTAAAATAGAAAACATTTCTTTTAATTTAAGTATTGTTTCATTTGCATTAGTTCCGTTTTCCATTAGTTTGACATCTAACCATTTTGACTTGTCATCAACCAGAATCAGAAAAGAAATATCTATGAAAAAAGTCAATGTTAACCCGGAAAAAATATTTGAAGATGTTGACCAAGACAATAAAGTACTACTATCTGAAAAATTCTGAGTGGTTTAAAAAACGTCGGATAAACTTATAAATTCCTCAATAGCATTATTAACATTTGGCCACCAGTAGTGAGGTCGAAGTAACACTTTAGTACGAACTGTACCTAAGTGTTGCTCATGGAAAAGTTTCAAAACTTCATCTTGCAAGGATATAAAAAATATAAAAACATCGCTCCGTCAAAATTTGCAGGTAATTCAAATGGTCGTGGTACATAAATATTTACTATGCCTGTCCACACTTTTATCTCAAATTCCAGCCCCAAATGTCTGTTTCATGTCACTTACCAGAACACTAAAAAGTATTTATCAAACGGCTTAACATACAGATATCGAACAAGAATACCTTTTTTACTTAGAAAATCTAGTGGGCTTATTAGAAATTAAATTTAAGAATATACAAAAAAATGTGATGGTATTTTTGCAAAAAAAAGTGTGTGCAGATAGCACCATCTACAAATTTTCGAAAAAACTGGTTACACCTTCTCATCTCCGAAATATTTTGATATAAAGGTTATGCTGGTATTATTCTATGGTCCGTTCATTTTGAAACACCCTGTATATTAACGACAATCGATTTGTATTGCAAAATAGATGTCTCAACCACAAGAATTCATACCGCTAATAAGACACGTCAATGCAGTGGTACAAAGGTATAAATTCATATGCTTTAAAGTATTATAGGATTATAATTAGTTACAGAACAGGTAAACACAAAACATACGAGAAAGGTGCGAAATAAAATTAATCTATTATTAAATTGTGAGTTTAAAAGTTAAAACATATCAAAAATTAATATTGGCAGTTATGGTTCTATTGAAATGGAAGGTGTCCCACAATTTTCGCTTTCGGTCCAATGTTAAATGTAAATGTGAAAAAGTGACCACACCGGTCATCAGATATATCCGTGGCAAATATCCACTCTCGCATACATATTCCGCGACCTTCTTTGTTGACCATGGGAAAAGTTTAGACACACAAGCAAAAAACCGCGTTTGATAATTTATATCGTTAATCTTGTACATCCGTTTACGCTATTTAAAATTACATCGGAAAAGAGGTGGTGGGATTTGTTCGGAAATTTATTTTTAAACGCAGATTGTAGTTGGGTTTTAGTTAATCATGAGTCATTGGTCCGATGGAATGTCAGGGCACAATGATTTTTTAAAATATATATTTCAATTATCGCCGAGCGTGTTGCCAACGACTTTAAGCGGATTAATTTTAGTAATTAGGTTGGATGGGATAAATTGAGATATAAATAGTAGGACAAAGATCTTTATATATTTCAATTGTTAATACGCAATATAATTACAACACACTCGATGCAAGAATACTGCGAAAACGAGCAGTACCGAACTTAGAGCGGTAGTCCCCCGTTCGGAGGGGAAAACGACGTCATTTTTGATTTAATCAAACATAAACATTATTTAGAACCATTCGAGACGTCCGTATAGTGATTTTACGTTACTCAAACGTGATGCCAGTTTAATTTATTCGTACAGCGTATTGACAGAACAAGTTCATATTTTCGAAACCAGATTCATGATGCTGTTTGGTATATTTTTCATGTTTGGATTTTATATTTCGGCAACCGCTCAAGGTAATGTATGGATTTTTATTATTTGCTTATAAGTTCAACGTGAGAATTATTTTCGTTTGCTTGAGGTACCAAAGCTCGTATCATCTTTTTTTTTATTTATTTAAATCTAAATCTATATCTCTCGCTCATTCCCATCTTTTTATTATATTTCTGTAAGTATAACTTTTGTGATATCTATATTTCCACTAATAATAATACATTACCGCATGTGCAACGCTTTTTAAATTTAATTTTTAAATAACCACAGAAATGTGAAATGTGAAATGTTTTCTTTCAATTTACTGCAAAATGTAAAATGAAATGTGTGTTTTGAAGCAAACTTTTAACCGGTTTTCTTTTGCAATTTCTATCTTACCACGCGCTGCCTCGCAAACGACCAGGATTTCATATTTTACAGCTCTTGAACGTTCTCATTCAAATAACATCTTCCATAGCCCATCAAAGTTATTGTAAAATTACCTTATATCTGTTTAAACATTTTCTTGTCCGTTCAGTAAAACGGAAACTATGACACCATTATTTTATTTATCTACTTTGGCAGACTGCAGTGTGTTGGCCCGTTGTTTTTCGTAAAGATAAAGTCTCCAAAAATTACAAAACAGCCGTATATCGCTATTGAGACGGTTCATATTCAATTCTAATTGGCTTAGACTGGTAACTCGTAACGGATGCATTTATGTGCGCCCTCGTATTTATTTGATAAGCTAGTCAGAGGATCTGAAGTTCATCATAGAGCCTCGAGGTAGACGGATTTTCTGATTGTTCCAAGGCACAGAACGACCATGTTACAGAAATCATTTACTTACAATGGAGCAAAATATTTCAAATGTATTCGCCTGTTTTTATAAAACTGTTATACCTGTACTAATTTTGGATGCGGAGATCATACTGCTATTGTTTTCCTTTTTACATCTATCTTCCAACATTTATTATCTTTGTGCTTCAGTACTTATTTTCTCAATGACAATGTTATGGATATATTTTTCTTGTTTTGAAAAATTTGTTTGTTATCTTGTTTTTTGTTGTTAGACATGAGTAGCTCTAAGTTAGACTTCGCCACTTCAATCAGACGTCTTTATGTATTGGCTTCAATAAGAAAAATTTAAACCATTATTATTGTTATTATTATTATTAACTCGACCGTGCCTCACAAATTTTTGACCTGCTGTAATTCAGATGATGAACTGTTTTCTTCCTAGTTCAGAAAGGAACCCCATGTGAAACGCCGCAACAGCAATACGGCCTCTGCGTTGAAATAAAGCAGTGCAAATATCTACTCGATATACTTCGAGCGGGAATCACAGCTGAAATTGCCACTTACCTTCGAAGTTTTTCCTGTGGTTTCAGTGGCAACACCCCTTTAGTGTGTTGTCCTCAAACTAACGTCAGAAATCCGATAGACGATGTCGAAGTACCAATCGACCAAGACCAAGATGATGACAATAAGCAGATAGGGGAACCAGTTCAACTTTCTAGATCTCCAGATTGTGGCTTCAGCAATGTCAGCTTTCCGAGAATTGTCGGAGGGTTAAATGCGAAACTAGGTACCGTGAAATTGCTTTATAACTACGTATATCTAATCCGGGGACCAAAAACGTAGTATTATTTTGGCAGGAGGTTTTCCTTGGATGGTTGCTCTCGGCTACAAAAATTCCAAGATCCCAGATCAACCAAAATGGCTTTGTGGCGGCACTCTAATAACTCAAAGGCATGTTTTAACAGCCGCACATTGCGTAAGCGGGCGAAGAGATTTGTAAGTATTAGCAAATGAGTTCTATTTAATAATAAATAACAAATTAATGGCAATAATTGTTTAAGATATTTGGTTCGCCTTGGTGAATTAGATTTGTACGATGACAATGACGGAGCATACCCGGAGAACATTCCAATAAAAAGTAGCAAAGTGCATGAAGCTTATAGCGCCACTCAATTCACCGACGACATTGCCATACTGACGTTAGAACGCAAAACGGACAATCGTACGGTGCAAACATTAATTAATAAATAAAATATTCCACGCAATTGGTATTTTCAGCTACAGTAAGGCCCATCTGTTTACCGTGGGAGAGAGAAGTAAGGACCAAAGATTTCATAGGGTTTCGTTTGTTTGTCGTCGGTTGGGGTTCGCTGTACTTCAGTAAGTGTGTTCATCCCATTCGAATCCGGTAGTTCTGGTAATACAGGGTGGTCGGTAATTAATGTGCCAAAAGTTAGTTTAAGATTTGAGAGTTTCAGGCGTATTCATTTCGAGGAATAAACCGTCACACCCTGTATCGCCCTATTACGCAATCATTACCCACAACCATAACCCCGTATATTTTTCACCAGATGGACCTTCCAGTTCTATTCTACAGCAAGTAATGGTTCCAGTAATTGATAACGATAACTGCAAAAGAGCATTTATGAACCGAACGGTGATCGACGATAGGATTATGTGCGCTGGATATTTGATGGGAGGGAAAGATGCATGCAAAGGAGATTCTGGGGGGCCCCTGATGTATGGAAAGAATCGTGGGCATAATTCGACGTTTTATTTATTAGGAGTCGTATCATATGGGTATCGATGTGCCGAGGAGGGATATCCCGGAGTTTATACGCGTGTTACGCATTACATTGAATGGATCCAGAAAAATTTACTGTGAGCATTTCATTTTTATATCGGGTTATCTGTGACAAAACTGGTAGGTGGAATTTTTGATTTGGGAAAGAAAAAAACACCTTCTTACTTTTCAAAATATATATTCCTCGTCATCAGATAGAGCCAATTTCACATTGCACCGAATAATAATTATATACGTATAATTATCATAAATAGTCATTTTTTATAATTAAAAACGCCTACGCCTTTGTTGTTATAAGTATTACTTGAAAAAAAAAGATTAATAAATAATTTTATACTGTACTATGACATAATTATTAATTAGCAATTAGCAATATAGCAAATAAATAAATATATTTCTGTAGTTATGTACAAGTAAATTTCTGGCATTTTGTTGAATCGTTGTGTTCTAAAGATGGCGGACAACAAACTTTAACCACTTGTGGTTGTCTTTTAACTCTGAGCAATATTTGTCTTGGTTCGGCGTGGCGTTTCCCTGTGGAAAGGTATTTTGTGGCATTGCCTTATTTTGTCCAATGACAAATGGTAATTAAAAAATCGTTCCTAGCTCTCACTTACTTTGGGTAGGGTTTGTTGTTGTTCCCACATTTTTGCAAGCATCAATAATTAATTGTCTGTATTCTGCATAGGTACATTCTCTTCCAATTACCAGATGAAGTAGTACCGTTATTGTTAAAACAGTAACCTAAAATTCGTATGTAATATAAAAAAAATATTTCATTTACAATATATCATAAGTACACACACTTAAGAAGTTGTAAAAACTTTCTTTATGGTTCGAGCTTGTTTCTTTTTTGTTGGATAGATCTTTCAAAAACGCCCTAAAACCTCATGCTTACCGTAACAAACTGAAGTAGTGGCCAACGGGGACCATTTAATAAAAGAGAGAGGGGGAGAGAGAGAGAGAGAGAGAGAGGGAGAGAGAGAGAGAGAGGGAGAGAGAGAGAGAGAGAGGGAGAGAGAGAGAGAGAGAGATATAGAGATCTCTCAAAAAGAGAAGTACGATTAGGGATTTAATGTTAAATTTAATCTAATTCAGAATTAATTTCCTATTTCTATGATGTTTGAAATATCGTTTGCTTCCCTCTTAAGGTTTGATTTTGATAATTTTTTCGTTGGATAGATCTCTCAAAAACGCACTAAAACCTTGTTTTTGTCTTTTATTGGCCATGAATTTAGGTTGAAGCAATAATTACAACAAGGTTTTATTAAAAATAAACAAAAATTTTACAAGGGTCTACAATTCTTAAATGTCTACACTATATAAAAAATAATGACTTACCAGCAGTTTCATCTTAAAATCACATACGTTTTTAGATATCAGCTACTAAATTATGTCACTAAAGCATTGCATATATGAGTTACTAAATTCTTAGGAGCATATGAGCAGTAGTATATATTAAAAAAATCGCTTTGGTTAATGTGAAATTTGCATTTTTTTCCGTGGTCGTAAGCATTTTGCGCGTGGTTATTTCGTCGCGTCCAAAATTTCGCACATGTTGCGATTTTTATTGTATTCTATATCGCAGATGTTATGTTTAAGCATTCAGTTGTCAATGGACATAAGTTCAATATAAACCTGAAAAAAAATTGGCAATGTAGGTGTCTAATAATTCGAAATCATTGACCTCGTTTAATCACATTGAACTTTATAAAGAATCCTAAAAACAATTATTCTTGTAATAAATATTTTTCAATTATTATAATACTATTTTATTATTTTTCGAAATATATTTTAGTTATTTTTGAACATCCAGGTATTTAATAAAACGCGGTTCCTGGCCTAAAAAAATCCTGCTATTTTACTACAATATAATAAATATAAATGGTACTGGAAAAATTTGATTTATATTTGCGTTAAAAAATATTGTCAGTGTGTAATGCGCAATAAACGGAAATTAATGGAAAATGACAAACGACGTCGATGTGATAATAATGCCATATCCGTGCAAAGGTTTAATTTCTAAATCAACTACAGGTTTGCAAAAAACACAGCTCACCGTTTCTATGTAAATGTAGTAAAATTCATCCCCGTCTAAATCAAATAAACAAATAGTCTTCCAGACGGCCTTTACCGGAAAGGGTGATTATTCTGGTCACGTGGTTTCATTTAAAGTTGCCGTAAATTGTAGTGGACTCGCCTCGAAATTTGGCTAAGGTGGAACGAAAATGACAGTGAGAAATAGTAGTTTGTACGTACGTTTATCCGACAGACTACTGACAGCCCATCTCGGTTAAGGGAAAGGATATTTCTCTAAGCCGTATACGGTCACTTTTAGAAAAAAAATCGGCTCTACTATTTCTGGAAATGTTTTCAATCCCATTCCGTATTGCTTTGACATGTTTTACTTCAAAAACTAAAAATGACCCACTGCTTGAAAATATCGCTTCTACAAAAATATCCATACACGTATACGGAAACAATATATCACTCAGTTTAATTAAAACGAGTTTATGTGTAAGTTAAAGTACGTAGTATGTAACACTCAAATAAGTTTGGGAAAATTATCTTGATGGCAAAGTTTTAGGAACTCAAGTTTAGTTCCACGTAAGAGATTTAATGAAACTGTACGGTCTTGGTAGTGTACAACCACGAAACAACAATTTCAGCCGAGGTATATCGTCTGGAAAACATTGATGTTGTCCCTCTTATCTTAGATAATGCATTTCCATTATTGTTTCCCCTGAAGTTACTTTTATTTCCGACCAGAACCCCTACTAAATGGAAAAACAGTGTATCAAAAAGTTACATTAAATGACCCCGTCTTTTTTTTCTTAAGTAATAAATATATAAATTTGAAAATTACTATTGCTCAACTTTTACGCTTTCAAGAAAAACAAAATCTCGTTGAAAATTGAAAAACAGTCGCAGTTTTTTTTAGTTATAACTGAAAAATCTATATGTTTGCTATATATCTTCATTCAAAGTAAGTTGGCAAACGTATTCCTACGTTATACCTATTAGGGTTGCCTGTTTATCTCAGGGACTACAAGAGATAATTTAGAAGATATTCTTGTCATTTATTTATCCTGTAAAACTTGTATTTTTTAAATGAAAAAGATCTTAAAATGTTGCCATTCTTCGCGCTTCATCAGTTTTCTAATTTTTTTCAAAAGCCCTAATTATGCTATGTCTAGATAGACCACCGAAAGGCGAATCTACGTTTCTGAATTATTGTTTCAGTGCGAAAGATAAACGTGAATGTTGCGTTTAAACTTCATACTGTTATTCATCGTTTAAATTCCTCTTCCCAAAATCGCTCTATCTAAATCAGTATTAATATACACGGTGTTGGTAGTGGGCACAACGAAACGAGTCACCTCGTCTACATGAAAATAAAATAAATAAATGAAAAGTCCAAATTAACCCAAGCAACTTTTGTATTTCATTTTTTGTTTGGTTTTGTAGCGGCGCCTCACGTTAGTCTACATGTAACACTTTTAATTGTTAGTTTATTTATGTTTATATTTTGTGTTGTTTAATAAACAACCACTGCGGATATTAATACTTCGATCACGACACGTTAAATCATAAAATACATTAACGAAAAACGTTTAATTGAACGCCTCTAAACGAACAAAATTTTCTCTTTTGTTCCGTGACTGTGAATTTAATTTGCTTTTTATTGGTTTAAGCAAAGCCTCGCTGGTAGAACGTCTTTTTGAAATATGGCAGCGCGGTGTTTTAAAAAATTCCTATGATTGTATTTTTAACGGAAATTTCAACTGACGAGGGGATCGTATAAATATGCGAAAATGATTTTTTTTAACACAAAAATGATGAATTTTTCACAACGATCTACTTGTAAAAAATAATCTTGAAGGTGATGCGGCCCACCTTAAGCTCCTTTGATGCAAACGAGGGCCGATACAAAAGAAGACATAAGGGGGATGCTTTCTCCCCTTCAACTTTGTTGGATCGAATGCTGCGCGTCTACCGCAGTATAAATTAAGTTATTTGTTCGAACAAGGAGAATAGTGGCAACAGTAATTGCGTTTCGAAATTAATTTTTCTTCTTACAATATTTAGTAAACATTTAAAACATAAATAATGGTCATAAAATCGGACTTCCTTTATTCTATAGTAGTGGCGAAGGAGCTTTCTTTTTCTAAGTTTACGTACGGTCTCCAGAGAACTAGAGCGGTCCGACAAGTTATAGTGGTGACTTTCCGGAAACTTGAACGTGTTTAGCACCACAGTTAATGAATTAGATATATTTTCATAATGTCAGAGAAATAGCCCGGCGAATTTGCGATGTAGTTAATATAATACGGTACTTAGGAAGGAAAAACATAAGTTTATTTAATTTTGTTGAACTTCCATACCCTTGACTTTGTTTTTTTTTTTCGATCCGCTGTACATTATCGAAAATAAACGTATACGGAATAGATTTAAAGTAGTAATCAAAAAGCGGAATACTTCGTTAGTTCCTATTCATTTAGTTGGCATACACCACACCGTTATCTGAAAAATGCAGCGAGAATGAACAAAAACGGTTCTACGTTAAAAAATTAGCAAAACCGCTTTACTGCAGAAATATACAGAGGTAATATGCATTAAAATTTATATTCTTCGCTTTAAAATTCCGCACCTGGCACCATAGAGAAAGCGGAAGGGCATATAATACAGCGAAACACAAACATCTATTTGAAACTTCAATTATTAAATTCTTTATTTTATTATATAGGATGAATAGACAGACATTAATTTTATTTGCTCAAGTAGACTGTAACATATACGGAAAGTTGAGAGATTTGTCAGCTGTGTTACGATTTTTTTTAATTTTATTTGTTCCAAACTATTGATTTGCTTGAAGTTAGTACGCCAAATAAAAACTTTAACCCCAACTTCTATAAAACTTTATTTATAAAGTGTAGCTTTCTTTTTAGATTGTTCTTTTTCCGACGCGTTTAACATAAAACTATACAGGGAATTTCTTTGCACTTGATATTAAAGCAATTTTAATTGAAAATAATATTGATTTTTTTGGTTTAACAGAGACTTGTTTGCATGATCAAATTCCCAATGAAAATGTAAACATTAAGGGTTATGACTTTATATGATGGGACAGGGGCAAGCGTAGCGTAGGAAGTGTCGGAGTTTACGTAAGATGCTCTTTAAGTTATAAGGTTGATCTTTATATGTAAAATGGTTGCATTTTCGGTGGTTTATAAATAGATCACATTTTTAGTGTTTGTCACCTTAATATCAATTAATATCAAAAGGAGAGTGTAGAACTAACGTAAATCATAAACTAACTAACCAAAACTACTCAACTCACTGCAAGCTTACAGGATGATATTCTTACTTTCAGTTGCTCATATAAGTGACCATGACTTCGTTTTTTTTTTTAATTTAGATTATAATAAATTTAAATCAGACGTAATAACATACCATTTATGATATAAACAATGCCTAGGGTCAAGTAGAATTTGTTACTATAAATGTTCTGTGAGATCTTCATTCCTCACTCAAAACCCATAAGATATCAAAAAAGTACGCCCTCTGACAAATATTGTAACTGCGGGGATAAAACAGGAAATCATTCTGTGTGAGTGATTCTGCACTCATACGTAATGTGGAGGATATAAACAGTAATTTTGTAAAATCTGTTTCTGAGTTACCCCCTGATGTATTTCGGATAATTAAGACTATTAAAACTAAGGAAGTAGTTGACGATAGTATTAATATTTCGACAATCAATTTATGTATTCCCCATATTTTGTATCACATCACACCTGTTATAAACTATTGGTTGAAATATTTCATTTTCCACGATCAGTGGAAAATGAACTACACTACTAAAAAACACTACTAAAGATTGTAAATCCAACAACCTAAGATAATATTCACACTATCAGTATTGTACCCACTTTTTCAAAAATTTTGGAGTAGATGCAGCTTCACTTAGATAATCTCCAAATTAACCCCGTTACTCGAACAAGATATACGGCGGTCATGCCTATATTACAGCTCTACTAGATATAACTTATATTATATTTACGGTTACAGATAAAGGCAAGTTGACACTACTAACCCTTTTAGACTACTTATACTCTTAATCGCCAAATTTTTATTTCAATGTTAAATTTTACTGCTTTTTCAGAAAAACCTTCAAAAATCGCGTCTGAAATTGATTTTGGAGGTCAACATAATTAGTTCATTCCGCAGTTCTGAAAATCTCTTACATACCTCTTTAATAAAATTATTTTTTTAATTTCGAATGATTGAATTTTTTAAACGCTCCTTTTCATATAATATTCTTTCATGTTTAAAAAATTTGTCAAATAAAATAAAAAACTTAAGCAACCTCAAACGTTTTAAGACTGAACATTTTTAAAAACCACTTGATAAACAAAATAAAGAAATATCTGTTTTTTTCTTCTTTCATCGGGTTAGATAGAACAGTATAGTAATCGTTAGTAGATTGAATCTCAAAATGGTAACTTATTGTTGGTATATCGTTTATAATTGAAATAAAATAATTTATTAGTATTATAAGTTTGATTCAGTTTTAATATTGCATTACTCATCCGCAAATGTCTTTCCCTCACGTATAAGATATCCCATAAGAGTAAAAAACACGTCGTTATCGTTTTATTGGACAATCCTGTATTCCTCGACATGCAACAGGCTTTGATAGCGATAATTTCCGCCGCTTTTGTGTCTAGTAGGCGGGAGTTTTGGTAAAGAAAAGACTTACCCTTATAATAAGGTGGCGAGAATGCTGAACCAGTGTAATGTGGGGGCGAATAGGTGGACAGATATAAGAGAGAGGCAGAGGCAACCAGCCTCCAGCGTCGAATACTATTATGACATTCCGTAGAGTGTGCGGCATTTGGAAACTATGCCTTAAGTTCAGATGAAAGGCATTCCGTGGGTGCCGTATGATAGATAAATAAGCGGACGACCAAGCATAAAATAATATGCAAAGAGCTCGTCTAGCAAGGAACAAAGAACAAGTACTCCGCTGGCGCATATGCTATACCTATTGCTCCGTTATTTGAGGAAAATCTCAATACGCATTTGTTTTCGAAAATTACTTTTCTATCTAAGCGTTCATCAATCAAACCCATAGCCCCGAACAAAATTTTCAACGTTACTTAATTAACGAAGTTTTTAATTTGAAATTTTGCATCGTATGTCTAGTGCGCTACATAATCGCGAGATTATAAATGTTAACATGTTTTTGAATTGTAATCGATGACCAGTTATTTTGCTCGTTACCTTGCTTACACAAAATTTCCAGATTGTGTTTAAAAATGAAATTATTTATCCGATTTGAAAATTTACAGGTGTGGCTTGGAGCATATTAATAGAAAAAAAAACAAGGAAGAGGGGTGCTTTTTTTACAACCCAAACTATTACCCCGTAAGGTTAGTTATATCTGATGAGCATGCCGATAATCTAGCCTGGGAGAGTTCATTATCATCGAATTAGTCCAAGTTATGGAGCGGCGTATTCCCAACACAGGAAAGTCTCTAGAATTAAACTTACCGACTATTATGGTAAATTGATTAGGGGCATGTCTAATAATTTGGGCGCGTTTGCTGCTGGCTCTGAATTATGCTACCAATTTAAACATATGAAATATTTTAAGACAATATTATACTTTGTGTCTTTGTTGGTACAGAAGAAGCTCATTTTCTTTTGATGATTGTTAACATAGCACGCCCCTGTTTCGCACCACCTGCTGCCGTTGCTATAAATCTTTCCAGTCTCTTTTCTAAGTAAGTATATTTTATCATTAAAACTTTATCGAGACATAATAGCCATCGATATTTTAGAATAAAATTAGACAAGCAGCTATTAAAATTTGTTATCTTCTGCTTAAATATCTATAATGATTTTTCAGTAGAGACATTACAATGAGCCAGAAAGAGAAAGAGAGGTGTCGGTTAAATGCAGCGAAGAGGGCTCAGAAGCTGGAAATCCTACTCTAGTCGTATTTATCCGCTACGCCGGGTTTTCAATCAAGTTCTCTTGATGCCCCTTACCAGCGGTGTAACCATTATTATTTGCGACGTTTTAGCGATACTAGTTATCTCGAACTGAAGACAAATTGAAGCGGCTTTTGTGAAATTAAAAATCTGGCCGTTCTTTATTTTCGTTTTACTTCAACTTCCACCCCTTGTGGGCAGGCCGTCACTTAAGCATATGTGCGCCGCCCATGTTAAACTTCTCTGATCCTTACGCTAGACGTGAAATCCCGCAGTCCTTTCGCGCTGCTGCCGTATAATAAAATGATTACATCACTTCATTGAACAATAGGAATGGCTTTCAGTCACTATTTGTGTCCTGTATACTGTTTTGTACTAATTGCCTGTAATGGACATCTTCTACTGTTAATGTCCTAATTTCTCGTGATACTACTTTATCTTCGGTGCTTAAATCTGTTGCTTAATTAAAGCTACATTAGAACACGCCCCGTCATTTTTGTACCGTTTAATTAGACCAGATACTTAACCAAAGTGTTTGCTTTGAATGCGATAAAATTTATAACAACGTTTCTACGGATTGGCCGACAAATATTTACCATTAAAGAAATATGATTGTTGAGCAATGCAAGACGCGTTATATTTTATTTATATAAGAATTTCTTTTAAATCTCTAAAATTGGAATTTTCCCGAAGTAAAATAACCTGCCGGTTGTCATTTGAATTACATTTTAACAAGCATTTGATTAAACGGCAACATCGATTCATTAAGCTCGAAAAAAGTACATCAACTTTCGAAGAATATTAAAAGATCATTAAAAATTGTACGCAAACATAAAACAAAAGGAATCTGCTTTGTGTCATTTAGCCTGATTAATTCTCCCTGCAAAATGTTTAAACAATAAAGCCCGGCTATTTAATTCGCATCTGTTGCAGAAGTTATAGTACGAAATTAAATTGTATCGAGTTTCAAGACTTCCCAAGCGGTCGATCATAAACATACAGAGTGAACTATTAAATAATAAATTTCCTGGGATGCGGAAAATGGTTTCGGGAGTTGAGTCTTTATACAATAAGGCGCATTATTTAAAATTAGAATTCATAACGATTGTATTAATTAATTCCTGACTTGTTTTAATGGGCGTCTCATACATAAACTTTCGAATAGAAGTAATTATAAAATAATCCAGTGACGTCTGGGTTTAAATGCAGCAGATATATGCTTTTTTGCATTTTAGTTGTGACGGTTTAAATGATGTTACGTATGGGGTTCCGCCTAGAGTCAATAAAATGCGGTACAAAAAATAGAAAATATGATAAACTAACATAAGTAGGTACAGGAATAACGCAAAAAAAGGAAACGAGAGTGCAAAATGGAAAAGGAAACTGTACGTTGCGAGTATGGCGATAAGTAGTGCTTTTAAATCATGTCGTTGAAACAAAATGATTTAGGTTTATTGTGATATATTAAGGCTAAGAAGCCGGCACACTCGGTAATTTAAAATATAGGTATCGGTCCAGTCTGGAGAGGGTAATATATATGAGCTCGTGTCGGTTAAGCTTGACTCAAGGGAAAAGTGCTTACCGGTGTCTCGTATCCAATGGTTCATAGGTTCTACAGATGGCGGAATGTTACACTACATGCTGCTTTACAACGGGTACGATCGGTTAAAATACTAATTTTTTGACCATGTTTTCTTTAGATGTATCGAATGTTAGGACAAAAATTAAGACGACCTATATAGCAACCTTTACGGGCGATTTTGGAGAATAGAGAATTAATTTGTATACGCCAACTAAAACGCATTCCTTCCCGAGTTACCGTAAGATGTGGCTTTTATCTTAAATAGTTTTTAGGGTAGCAAGTTTCGAGGGTGGCATTTGAAAGATTTATTGTTTAACGAAATCGATTGTCTTAGGAGAATGTTGAGCAATTTAGATTAAGGCAAATTGAAAAGCGTTTGCCTGTGATATAATTGTTAGTAGTTCCAATTTAGTCTCTACAATTATCTCGGGCTTGGAATTAGAGATAAAAGTTCCCCCAGAATAATTTACTTGTTTTCAGGAAGACAAAGTGTCAAGGTCAGCTCCGAGGTCAACTTCATTTAAGGAAACCCCAATGCTTTGCGACCGCGTAGTTTTTACAAAATTTGTAAGGCATTTATTCATAGATGCGTTTTTTTTTGTTTTCGGTTATAAGTCAACCATAATTTTCCATTCCGACTTCAATTGAAATGAATAAATTATGAAAAGAAAATCGATTATCCGTTATCCGTTATTTAAAAACGCTTTGTTAAAATAAAATTTAGGCGTTTACCACACGCGAGTATTTGGCAGATCGAATTTAGTTCACCCAAGTGCTCTGAGGGATTGCACACATTGCTTTGTCTCAGTTTACATCTCCCAATATTTGACTTTATATCACAAACTCACCACCAAACCGCAAACAGTATGCCGACACTGTTTGGCAGCACAAGAGAACATTTTAACTACGCAGAAATTTTATAACCCCTTGACCAGTGAACAACAAACATACGATTCTAGTTTCATGGTATAGAAATGCTTCATTGATTTGCGGTTATTATATTATACTGGCAAATACATCCCGATTTGTTGCAGGGTTGTTGAAATGTCTGTTTGTAAGTTGAACTTTTACACGTCTGTTCATAACTTTCGATCCTTTTCAGAAAGTTTGTAATAATGTACTAATGTTATTATAAAAAAAGTTACTTATAGATTCAATTTTTTTTTATAACAAATAACTTTTTACTTTACTTAAAAAATTATCCACAATTTTCAATTCCATAATTTTTTTATTGAACAACAAAACTATAGAAGAGTTAAATCGTACATCGAGATTAATAAAAAGTGTGTTACCCCATTCCTCGTTTAGCAATACCAAAAACTTCGGTGTTGATGTTTTTATGTTGCTAATGTCATTGAAGAAGTATAATTAGTAAACTGGAGGATTAGGTGCAGCATGAGTTCGGTTAACGTATTACGCAATACGCGGTAATACGTGTAAGAAGATAAAACCGTACCACAAGTCACAAGTACAGTGAGCCGGTTTTGGAATTTAGTTGGAAAAAAACTAGTTATTGAAATTAAGGTGGTAAAGAGCATTAAAAAATTTATGAAATATTTTATCTTAAATATGCCTTACTTACATATTTGGTCGGGCCTCCTTTATTATCAATAACGGCTTGTATCCTTCTGGGCATTGATTCAACAAATTTTCTAGTGTACTCCGGGAAACAGTATTCTATACTTTAGTAATTTTTACTAATACATTTTTGTTAGATGTGAGAGCACCATTTACTTCATTATTTAATTTCAAAAAATAAATGCTGACTAACATATAAGTCTGGCGATTGGGCAAGTGTTTTAATTACATTTAGGCAGCTCTCTAAACCAAACAAAACTACTAACTAAACTACCAAAAACTAACCAAAACTAACCAACTGTGGACGCGAATATTTAATTTTTGGGCACTAGCAAAGAGGTGATTATTTAATATATCCAAACACATATTGCTCTCAATGAAATGCAGGTTAAGCTTCCTCTACACTGATTTCGAACCAAATAAGTTTATTTTGGTCTCGTCAGCAAATATTACTTAATTCCAGAAGTTCATATATTATGGCCTCTAGTGAAGTTACAAGTTTTTCCAAACGATCTTTCCAAATCGCACTTTTTTTTTTATTACTCCTCACGTTTATTGAAGATCTTATTTGGAGCCTTGGCCAGTAACATTCAATGATATGCTGACAAATGTATTTATCATTTTGGTAGTGTCTCTTTGATTGCATCCATTTCTATTAAATTTCTTTCAGAAATTGCAGTTTGACGATTCATTCTTAAACAACTTCGTTTTATTCAGTGAAATCCTGTTTTCAAATGTCAAACTAACTAAAAAACAATTGCATTAAGAAATCACAGCAAAGCCGCCTTAAACTGCTGAGTTTTGACCCTACGTTTAAATTGTATTTATCGTAAATTAGGTAAGGCATATTTAAGGCACAATTTCGATAAGTTGCTCTTTCTATAAATAATTAAAGAGGCACTGAGGCCAGTTAATTTACTATATGTCACAATTAATGCGTATTTATATGACTTGAGGTCTTGAAGATGGTACACAGATCGAAATGTTGACGGTGGTGTGATTTGAATCAACCAGTATAGGAGATAAGCGGTGCAGTGAAGTTATGAGGCAATCAAGATAATTTTAAATAAGAAGGGTGCATCCAGATGAACAGTTAATTCAAACCAAAGAAGCAACAGGATCTGAAGGGTCGAAAGGGGTCAGGAATAGCGCACGCTTGCGAACCACCAGGAGCACGCGACTGTGCGACGAGGTTAAGCCGTTAAGGCCACATTTACAGACAAGTTCGCGAAGGGCGAAGTTGCGCCGTGGATAAAAGCTTTCGAGGTTGCGTTTCGGTTCTCTTTGGATTTTTTTCTTTGTGAACTTTTCGGTGCAGTGATCCGATTCATTTTCCGCTGGAACTGTGGTAAGTT